CTCCGTTTGCGCTTTCTCCAACCGCATAAAAAGTCACATCAATAGATAAATGATAATAGGCCTAATCATTACTTTAAATTCAAATATTTTATTAAAAAGTTTTGCAAGAATCGTTATTTTTTATCAATAATTTAAACAAATGCCAAAGGAAAATTATCTAAAATTATACGTCATTTAGGCCTCCCAACATCGCGTCGGTGGCCTCAATGAAACCAGCCCAATGAGCAATCCAGCTATTATATGCCTGGTTCTCACGAGAGCCCTAGTATCCGGATCAGGAGCTAACCGTTAGCGCTAACCGTTAGCGCCCGATCGGTTAGCGCTAACCGTTGGCGGTATCCGGATACGCTAACGGTTAGCAAGCGCTATCGGTTAGCAAGTTGAGGGCGTTTCTATCATCAACCAATCACACGTACGCGTTTACAATTTCCAGTTTCTTATTGGCCAGTATTCGATCATCATACTGTTGGTATCCGGATCGGGATTTTCTGGCATGGACGCACGGCAGCTAACGGTTAGCAGGATCCTGATCCTGCTAACCGTTAGCTGCCGTGTGAGAAGAGATCAGTGACTGCGCCCGACAGTCGTCGGCCGACGCGATTCTATGTAGAACGCAACGCGACGACGCGCGTACAACGGATCGTTTTTAATGACGATCCGTTCATACGACCATACGACCAGATACGACCATCGACAATCATCAGACGGAGTCTAAAGGTCTAGCGCTCAAAGAGAGCGGAATTGGATTTCTCGTGAGACGGTCGTACGACGCAGTGAGTGCCCGGCATGATATTAAAAAAAAAAGTTGCAGGCTTATTATTTATATTTGAATGTTTTCATGTCTGTTCTGTTTCCGCGTTGCCTACCATGTCAATGTTGTAATTTGTTTGTCCATATACCGGTATGTATTGTAAAGGTAGAGAAATTGAATAAAGAAGGACAGAAAGAAATTTATTAATATCAGAACTTCTTGTTTAGATAAACAGCATAATTATGGTGTTGGTCGTCCGTGTGATGTGGCAGCGAACACGAACACATGACGCTGCTAACCCCAACTTCAAAAGACTCAAGTAAGATATTATTTACTAGGCCCAAGTTTTTAATTTAAATGTAAAACGTAGTTTTGTACGATGAAAGTTATTTAAAATTAATATCAAATGAATTGGTGAAATTAGTTTGTAATTTGCTTATATATAGTATCTTATATCCTAATTGAGGGGACTTCATATTCATAATAATCCTCGTCTTAACCCTGAATTTTATTATTCTTAGTGTGTCGCTTAAATTTGTATTCTGAAGGTGACTTTTAATGTATTAGCAGTCCCACTGTGATTTATCTCAAATGCATCCCCTTCGTCGTTTCGTTTCGTCCTTTATCGATTTTTGGTAAATTTTGTTTTGTATCGTACAGAGTTTCCGCCAGAGGAGCGCTGATTTTGTTTCCCTTGCTTGGCTTAACCTGGATACTCGGCTTATCTAGGTCCGTTATAATGCAGTACATATTTGTATGCTTCAATAGTCTACAGGGGGCCTTCATTTTCATCACCTTCTGTATAGTCGATAAAGAGGTGAGAAGATTCCGATGCTAGCAAAAACTTCATCGGGTTTTACAGTAAACAGACTATATGAGAAAAGTTAGTATGTTAATGACGACGACAATAATGATGATGACTATGAGCATGATTATGATAATATGGTGGTAATAATGATGATTGGTAATGAGGAGGATGATGATGTTGGCAATGTGGATGAAGATGAAGATGACGATTACGAACATAATAATGGTGATGATGAGAATGAAGAATATGATAATCAGGGGCGGATTTTGGGAGGGGGCGATCCGGGACCTCCCCCCCCCCCCCTTTTTTTTGAGAGATAAAAAAAATAAATAAAAATAAAAGAAAGAAAAAGAAAAAAAATGATAGCCCAGAACACCTCAAATGTTATTTTCGGGCGTTGAGAACACAACAGTTTCGCGGAGAATTCCCCCGAACCCCCTAGGATAGTGTTGTCTCGATCGGCCCAACTTTCGGCCTCACCCCCTTTTGGATAATGATGACAGTGATAAGCGGGTGATTATGATAATAGTAGTGAGGAAGATTTGAATGATGAGGATAATGGCGATGATGGTGAGAGGATGAAGATGATGGTGATGCTTCTGATGATGATGATGATGATGATGATGATGATGATGATGTTGATGATGATGATGATGATGACGATGATGATCAAGATAATGATAATGAATGAATATGGTATGATGATGAGCAGGATGACATTTCTTTTGCATTCTTATTAAATACGTGTTTATTAAACTATATTTTTTTAATAATTACATCCTTTAATGTAGGTTCGTACGCTTCTCGTTGGTCTCTTGAGGAAGTACGTTATGAAGTCAAAGGTGAACACAACAGACAGCAGCGCTACCACAACTTCATCATTGAATAACAAAACTCAAACAACGACTTCACACACTTAGATTCAAGCTTAATAAAGAAAACGAGAAGTGAAGGTCTACTAGGTGTGGCTCCTGCAAGGAGTATCATATATATATCAGTGTAATAAGTGTATAATAGGCTTAATAACCTACGGTACATAAAATATGTGTTCACGTAGCTTACCCCGATTCCACCATGTTACACTACTATTTGTTTGTTCTAAGCGATTTCGCCTTGTGACGGTCTTTTGTTTCAATCTGTATAGATAGTTGACGGTAATATGTAACAGGTGTAATCTGTTTATGCCTATATTATGTTTTGTTTAAAATAGATAAATAATAAAAATAGATCATTGATAGTTTATATTTATTTATATTCACATTATTTATACAAAGTCATTGTACAAAGAATTATGGTTTTTCGTTTCTTACACAGTTGCTGCAGTCATTGTATTTACTATTTTATAAATTAGTCAAATTTGTGATTGTTGAACAAATTAGTTACAAACCTTATCAACGGTTTCAGCAACTGCTTCGGTCACTATTTTCAAGCCCTTGGATGAATTGCCATTCACGCTTCAGCGAGTTAGGGTGTGGGGGCGGGGCTGTCGGGAGGTAGAGTTGGTGGATATACAGAACAACAATCGATGAACTGTGGTCCGAGTGGGGAGGGTTCAAGATTCAAGATTCTTATATCCATCCAATGTTTTATTCGTTTCAGCCTCTAACGCCCACTGTATGTAAATAAGGCCACGTCTTACCGCCACTGACACGATACAGAATCTCTTGAAATAGAATTATCTTTTTCTAGAGATAGTACGGTAATGCATCTGAGAAATCGGCTAGTCCAAAATAGGCCTATCACGATTTTCTTCGCACGCGTTTGAACAAGTATGTCGATACTCAAAAGTTTAGTACGGTAGTGAGGGAAAACCAGAGCATAGGATATAGTAAAAAAAAAGGTTTATATATGTCTGTGTACTCACTCTGACACGATGAATATATAAATGACATGAAAAATAAAGTAGAAATAAAGTTCCTCCATTTCTGTTGGCACGTTATGTCTAAATTGAGGGAATTAAAAAGCATGCATACTGACGATACGCTGCATGTGTTAGATTTAAATATTAGCCACTTTTTTAAAGATTAACCAATACTGGCATACTTGTTTACGCATTTTTTAAAAAGTTACCGGTATGCCTAAAAGCAGTCGCTCGTAAATAAGAGGCGGTTCTTTTGTAACGAACATTAGATGAAAGGTTTAAAGGATGATTTGAGATAGCTTCATTGATTGTCGTCGTAGTCATCCAGCCCCAGATTAATTGTGGCTCGCACATTCAGCACAGACGACGGTGAACACGATCACAAATGTTGAAGTAGATGGAACAGTTTGTTAAATGCTCCCTGCAATTTCGTTCCTGTGAGCAACACATGTTAAACAGCATTTAAACGCCACTTTTAAGGAGGAGTGCCGTGTTTGAAAATATGATTTTCAGTTCACTTCGTTTGTCGTTTCTAGATTGACTCAGTTATGCAATTAAGTGTATTTGAACAATGAACGTATCGTATCAGTCTATCGAATGAAAATATTGTAGAAACCCACCCCACGATTTGATGTGGAATGGTAAGGCGGCAAGTTTATTATCATGATTCAAATGGATCCTACGCATCCTCTAGTTGCTGGAACAAGACCTCAGCCCAAACGCAGTTTCTCCTTTTCAATCGTGTGGATCTTAATATCGGGTGCTTTACTGACCGCGGGAATAATTACAATTATTTTCCGTAGCTTACTTACCGATCAGCTGTACAGACCTACTACATCGTATTTACTGATAGTTATCGGGCTGGTCTCTTTGGCTTGTGGCACTGTAAGCTCCCGATTAATTGGCTCATACGCAAGACACAGGATAGAGGATCTCCCTTCTGATGGCGAACAAGGACAGTAATAAATTTTCTCTGCCTAACTTTATGACCCTACATGGAGGGGGGATATAGTTAATCAAGCCTAGAGTACCTTTCTCATTGGTTTATAACGCTGGAAAGTACTCAGTAAACATCTATAGTTGGGCAGTACCTCATTGGTGTAAATATTTTACATAGCATTGCAATTACTCTTAGCTAGATGATATATGCTGCACAGAGTTTTATGCACGTTTCCTCTTTGTGGAACAATGTCGTAATAATAATCGATTTCTAAGGTCATTTAGAGAGTGTACATCACATATTATTGCACATTGAAGTTCATTGCCCCTCTATGTACTTTATGAAAAAGTAAATAAAACAAAAGGGAATGTATACTGTGATTTATTTATGAAATAAATTGGGCGAATTTGCGAAAATTGTTTACACTGAATTATTTACATAACCGTACTATATTCGCTAAAAAAATGAAATATGCGGTATTATAAAGCCGAAACTTTGAAGGTGGCAAGAAATATTAAAGTTAAAATCATGTGAGATCTGTCAAATTTATTTGCAATTGAAAATTAAATCTTCATTGTTGTAAATTTCAAGGTGTGTGAAACTTTAGTATAATAAAGTATCCTATATTAGTAAATAGCAACTGTATGTAAGCTTTTTTATTCAATTTAAAATGTGTTAGAGGCTAAATAAAAAGTATAAGTTTGATGAATGTATGTTTAATTTTTCACTGTAATTGTACATATTACTTAGATAGTATGCATCTATACATATAACATTTATATGTGTGGGTAGTATATTTCCAAGATTTTAACATTCATTATTATTTGTTTTATAGTACACCTAAATTTTTCTTGTCATTTGATATTTTATGAACCTAAAGTTAGTTCTCCCTTTCTTCCGAATGGAACAGTCCATCTTCTTTCAACCAATGAAAACCTTGTATTAGGTTGGTTTGAAGCATGCAATTGAAAAAATTAATGAAACTAAAATATACGGAAATGGAACTAAATTTTATAAGTTCATTGAAATCAAAACACAAAATGAGTATGTGTTAAGATTACGAAATAATGCACATAATGCTTAACTCGGTTCTTAACAGGCTGTGAATATGCAAAATGGAAAAAAAGATATGAGAAAATCCAATCGAAATTTGACATATGTATGGCACCCACTACTTTCTGGTGTACTTAGGTAATCCATTCTCTGCATGCTGCAACATCAGTGGAATAATGTCTCTTTCTTTAATTACCATTTGATGCAACAAATTAAACCAAAAAATCACATTGTTGAATGAAATTGAAAGCATTTACTCAAATAGTAAGAAAAATGTGCTGAACACTGAAAATTCCAATAAATCTTAAAATTTTGCAATTGTATCAAAAAATGTTATCAATTTCAGAACAAATCATGTGTTTAATATTTGTATCTTGTTGTCATAAATAGACAATTTTAATATAATTATTCTTCTATTGTTTGCCGTTGTATAAGTTCTTTGTATATTCCGTTCTTCTTCAGAAGCTTGTCATGACTACCCATCTATCAAAACAAATGAAGAACATGTTGTATAAATTAAACCTAGAAATTTCCCAACAAAGAAGTGCAAACAAACGTAGTGGGGTATACTTGCGGAAAGGGTGCTGAGCTTTAAATGAATAATTATTAATTATTAAGTTATTAATATTTATTATTATTATTATTATCAAATATCAGATTCAAGGGTACAACCCAAGCAGTGTCACGGAGTAGTAACTAAAGTGCAAAAATAACTTTTTTTTTAATAGGCTTACTGTTAAATAACAATGGTAACGATAATAATTTTTATTGGTATCTGATCATTAAGCTAAAAAAATATCATGTTGCCCAAGCACAGTGATATTTGCTAATCATGTTTAGTCATTTGATGATTTTGTTTAATATTGGCCTTAACCTATTTTAAGGCTCAGTGGAAATTACAATTGCTTTGCTGCACTGTATTTGGTAAAATGGTAACCACAGAGCTATATCAAGAAGAAGGTATCAGTGGTGGATCCAGGAATTCAAAATAGAGGGGGGCCAAAGAAGGGACATTTACAGATTATGGGTCTATACCACGAAATGTTTCTATGGCTCCTTTACATGGCTGGAATGGCACACTTTAATCTGAATATAGTTTTCTCTTTTTTTTTCTCCTTTTTCTATTAAAAAATATTAGGAGGGCCTGGGCTGGCTGAGCCTCCTTGAATCCACCACTGGATATCAATTTCTTTTATTCACAGCTTAAATGTGAATTTATGAAACATTTTACAGCCATTGTGTGATTGTGTGCTCCTCCTTGGTCAAAAAAATATAATATTGGAAAAAAGGACAACTCTTGATTATCAATATTTTGGGCCAGTTGAGCTTGGGTAAAACAAAGTACCTTTTGTTTGTATTGTTTGGTGCTGCCATTTAAAATAATGATTTAAACTGGTATTTCACTTAATTTCACTTAAATTTAATATTTTACATGCTTTGTATCATAATAGGTCTACTGTATATGAATTATATTTACCATAAATCCTTGAATAAGCGTCTCTCTTGAATAAGCGCCGCACCAAACATGTTTCGATTTTCCGCAAAGTGTTGTGTCAAGATTATTCTATTTTAAATAAGCGCCGCAGCGCTTAATCGAGAGTACATGTGTTTAATAAAACACTTTGAAAAAACAGGGTTATAAATACAATGTATACCATGTATCAAATGAATAAATAGCACAATGGAGACACAAGTACATTTTCATAAACGTTTATTTATGATGATGTAGGGCCTATGATATACCTACCAAACAATGGGAATATTTGAGATAGGTAACATGGGGGCATGGAAAATGCCAGGCCAATGTTTTTAATAAGCGCCGCACTGAAGCCTCCAACAATGTTATAAGCGACACGGCGCTTATTCAAGGATTTGCAGTACTGTAGTTTTTAATCGTCAATGTTTAACTGGATGATTGAGGATCAAAGACTTTAATAGTTACAGTAAGTTTGCTTTTGTGACCATGTCCACTCCTGATTATATAATTAAATGCACTATATAGAAACAAGTGAGTTTTCAATGATATTTGCAATCAGTCTGTTTAGAGGCCTGTTTACACAAAGTGTGGCCGTGACAAGCGATAGCAACAGAAAAAAAAGAACCCATTATAATCTTTATGAGGATTCACACTTAATGCAATGCATGTACACTTAGAGCAATTTTTGCTCAGCATAGAATAATTTTCTATTCCAAAAAACCGATGCGCAACAAAAAATATTCAGAACAATCAGTGACTATGATATCATTTGCACACTGCAGTGATGTGTGTGATGACCTTTTGTAACATGCTGTGCAAATGGAAGGCACACCGCGAGAGAACATTTCTATCACTGTCACATGCCACTGTTGCGATCTGTGTACGTAAGCCTTAAGGGGTGCTGGGAGCATGAAATCTCTAGGGGAGCATAATAGGAATTAGAAAGGATGTGTTACCTCCTGAATGACTCCATTTACCAGCACTGCAATCACATCAGCTTTTCGTATTGTACTTAATCGGTGAGCTATTACAAGGACTGTGCGACCTGAAATAGGCAAAAATTTATTCCCTTACCATTAACATGGTTATGTCAGTATTGTATATATTTTTATATACAAAGTAGCATAGTAATGGGAGGCAGTCAGGGAAAGGGCCCCAGGGCACGTACAGGCTAATAGGTTGAAAATACAAAATTTGATGAAAAGATGTCATCCATTAAACTAAATACCTAAATGGCCATAACATCTGGAAGGCTTTGCCCAAGGCTCTCACTCATGCTCAAACACACAGGAGCACCTACACGGTCCTAAAACCTCTGTAGAGGCCCAGACCACTAGGAAAAAGTAGATAAAAATGGTAAACATAATCTCCTGAATTAAAATTATAATTAAACAACTAAATACTTAAAAGGACGTAGCTCCTCTGTGATCTGCTCTGCCACTCAACCCCACTAAGGCCTCTACACCCTCGTCGATGAGGGCCAGGCACCTTCTTATAGTAGTATTTAGGGAGTACATGCATGTAACCTTGTATCTCCTAGTACAATTCAATTTGAAAATAAATCATCAAAACACTGTACCCCGTGACACACGATCCAATGCTTCTTGAACTAAACGTTCAGACTCGGCATCTAGGGCACTGGTTGCTTCATCCAATATAAGTATTGATGGATTCTTCAACAAGGCTCTAGCTAATGCAATTCTGAGAAGAAAATTACATTAAAAAATCAATAAAAAGTATGAGAATTTAATTTTTATAATAAATTCCAGTAAGGGGTAAAATTTCAAAGTACCTTTGTTTCTGGCCTCCGGACACTGTTATCCCTCTCTCACCAACAATGGTGTTGTAACCATCAGGAAATCTTCGAATAAACTCATGAGCATTTGCAAGAACAGCAGCTTCTTGAACCTAAAATAAACCAAAAAAACAACACACATAAATATAATGTAATGCAAACCTAGGGACAGAGCATATTGATGTCTATTACTACACCACAAATTGGTTGTTAACATCTAAAATATCTAACTTTGCCCCTTTTTTATTAATTTACTATTTTTTTTTTTTTCATTTTTGAACAAAGACAGCATTTTCAGGCACAGTGAGCACTCCCCGCTGTATATGCCACTGTAATCCAATCAAAATCTACCTATCGTAAATGACCCAATATTCAACTTCGACATATTACCATTGGAGCTTCAATAAATATTCCAGTAGGTTGCTTTCTCACATCATAATAAAAAAGTTTGTAACAACATTTTTATTCTACAAGCCAATCAAAGTTTAGTAATAAGTGTATAAAAACTTAAGCTAAACCAGAAAACAAATAAATAAATTGTTGAAAACTAGAAAAAATTGCCACCAATATCAGTTATTTACCTCTTTGTCTGTTGCCTCAGGTTTTCCATATCGAATGTTTTCCATAATACTAGTTGCAAACAAAACCGGTTCCTAATAAAAGATCAGAACATAAAGAAAAACCATATGTATCTGTGAATATATTATCACCATAGTTGTTAAATGATGTGTGCATATCCATCATATAAATATCCTGAGTAAATATTTATTATTAATTCAATTTCCAATTTACATTCCATAAATACAAAAAACTAAAGCCGGACACACATTGCAACAACAGTTGTTGGCTACATGATTACCTACAGAAGGCAATGAGACAAGGAGTGTACATCAGATCACTTTTAATGACAATCCACCTAATCTATCAACAGGCAATGACATGTTATGAAGCACTCACAAAGACAGATTTTGTTGGCTGATGGTTGTATGAACATCATACGGTGTAGTGTATGTCCGGCTTTATAATAACCAACATTAACTTAGAATGTACTATTTCACCTGATTTATAAAACCAATTGCTCTGCCTCTAAGCCAACTAGGGTCAAATGTTTTGAGGTCGTATCCATCAATGGTAATAGTTCCACTATCCACATCATAAAATCTTTCAAGTAAGGATGCTATTGTTGATTTACCTGTGAGTATCAAATTTTGAATAATTGAATTTTTGCAAAATACTTCTGGAACATTTCTTAATTTATAATAATATAATATAGAAATTTATATAGCGCCTTTTGCCAAAGGATACAAGGTGCTTAGAAAAGGTTTATTGTAGGAAGAAGATTAATTAGGAAATAAATGAGCTTTTAAGAGTTTTTTGAAGACTTCAGTACTGCAAGCATTTCGGATGGAAATAGGAAGATTGTTCCACAGTTTTGGAGCAGAGGAAGAGAAAGATTTATCACCAGCAAGTTTGTTGGATTTGGGAACAGATAAACAGGAACCGGAAACAGAACGGAGAGAATAGGTAGAGGTTAAGAAAATCAACAGGCAGGAGATATAACTAGAATTGGAGGACTGCAGTGTATTAAATGTCAGAACTAATATGCGGAACAGGATTCTCTGTGACACTGGAAGCCAGTGGAGATGATTAAGAAGAGGAGTGATGTGACAATATTTGGGTCTGCAACATACAAAGCGAGCACACTTATTTTGAAGTTTCTGAATACGACTTAAATTATATTTACTGATACCATAGGGTAGTGAATTACAGTAGTCAAGCCTGGAGAGTAATAGGGCACGAACAACATTATAACAGGTTTCAAAATCAAGAAATTTGCGGATGCGGGACAAACAACGAATCTGCCAATTTATGGACCGAGAAAGGTGTGTTATATGAGCAGTCATGTTCATTTCATGGTCGAAAACAACCCCGAGATTTCTGATAGTTGGTGAGTGTCTAATAATGTTACCGTCAAAATGGAAGACAAGATTATCAAGGATTTTATAGTGATAATTTGAAGAAGCAATGAAGAATTCCTGAGATGAAGATTCAAATGCGTCTTGTAGACAGCTCCAATACCACCACCACGAGTGTTGACTCCTCTAGGAATATTGATGACAGAGTAATCAGGTGGAGTCATTTCACCGACTATGACTTGATCATCACCTCGTAACCAGGTTTCCGTCAAGAACATTATGTCAGTGTTATATTCCGTTAACAAATCACACAAGTGGTTGGTCTTGTTGCAAACCGATTGGGCGTTCCACAAACCAATCCTAGTACCATTGCAAAATGAGGAGTCAGAAGAGTTTAGATGTGTATCAGCACTTAAATCAAGTTCAGCGCGAATAGCACGCAGATGTTTTTTCCGTCCTCCTCTACATCCCCGCAGAGTGGAAGCTGTCTCTTATACACATCTGATTAGTGCAGTTTCTGTACTATGGGAACGTCTGTAGGCCGACTGAAAGGGGTCGGCAAGGTTGTTTCTATAGATATATGTAGCCAGTTGCGAAGAAACAACTTTCTCAATTAATTTGCCAATGAACGGCAAATTTGAAACCGGTCTATAGTTTGTAAGTAGTTGCTTATTAGGAGAGACCTTTTTAATAACAGGTGTTATAATAGCAGATTTGAGTGCAGTAGGGAAAGTACCAGTGGAGAGCGAAAGGTTAACGATCAAACACAGAACAGGCAGCAAGCAAGGTAAGTGATTCTTAGTTAACCAAGTTGGAAAAGGATCCAACGGACAGGTTTTTGACAGACAATTTAAAATAATTGATTGTAGATCAGCCTCAGATACAGGCAAGAAATCAGTAAAAGAACAGGTAGGTGCAGCAGTAGGAAACGTATCAATAAGCTCAGGTGGAGTGGAGTCTCAATTTCCTTCCTAATATCTGCAACCTTGTTGACAAAAGTTCTGCAAAAAGAGTTAGCAAGTTCAGATGATGAACCAGAGTCAGGTAATATAGAGTTGGGATTATTAAGAAGTTCGTTGACCGTTCTGTACATGTCCTTAACATTACAGTTCATGAGCCTGTCTTTGTAATAGTCAGCTTTAACTAGAAATGATGTTGACAACATTTCGCAGCGCTTGGACATAATTAACATAGTCAGCTCGCGATTTCGTTTGTCGTCCACCGTCTCTCACACCGGCGACGCAAACGCTGAGCATCAATAACGGAATTGTTAAACCAATTAGGCTTGTAGCGTTCAGCACGAGATCGAGTAATAGCCGAAGCATGCGCATCCAGTACATCGCGACAAGCCTGATTATAGTAGAGAATGTAATCATTAACATCCAAGTGATTTTGTATAAATATAGAAGCCATCTTAATACCAAGATCCGTAGCCAGTGCCGCAGAGTCAATGGACTTATAATTGCGTGAAGTATGAGATATTTTGATACTATTGAAATTAGTCAAGTCTAACATGCAATGTATAACACAGTGATCCAAAATAATTGGAGGAAGCATTTTATAAGACTTCACCAAAGTGTCATCGTCCTTGACTATTAGGAGATCAAGTGTATGCCCCAGTTTATGAGTGGGACCAGAAACAAGTTGCCTATAATTGAGAGATGAAATAATTTGATTGAAACGTGCGACATCAGGGTTGTGCGGAGCATCATAATGAACATTAAAGTCACCAAGCACCAGTATCCTTCCTGGAAGAAGATCAAGACATCCGAGGAAGTCCTCAAATTCTACAAGGAAATCTGAAGTTTTTAGTAAGGCAGACGCAGGAGGTCGATAAACGATAACAAAGTTAACGCCAGAACATGAAATAACAGCGTGCTCAAAAGACTTAGTTTGAAAATGAGTATCATTCCTGAGATGAAGATTCAAATGCGTCTTGTAGACAGCTCCAATACCACCACCACGAGTGTTGACTCCTCTAGGAATATTGATGACAGAGTAACCAGGTGGAGTCATTTCACCGAGTATGACTTGATCATCACCTCGTAACCAGGTTTCCGTCAAGAACATTATGTCAGTGCTTTATTCCGTTAACAAATCACACAAGTGGTTGGTCTTGTTGCAAACCGATTGGGCGTTCCACAAACCAATCCTAGTACCATTGCAAAACGAGGAGTCAGAAGAGTTTAGATGTGTATCAGCACTTAAATCAAGTTCAGCGCGAATAGCACGCAGATGTTTTTTCCGTCCTCCTCTACATCCCCGCAGAGTGGAAGGCTGACGTTGAATTCCAAGTAAGCGTATGTGAGACCAGATATGTGCCGGCAACCTCACAGAGAAGTTGGTATTTAACTCAGCCAGCTGGGTCTTACTATACACCATAGTGGTATAATTTGCATATGAATACACACTGACTGTAAACAAGTGAGTAAATCCAAGGCACAGGAAAAACAATGCAAAAGACCTGGTCAGTCGCCTATTGATTAGGTATGATTCAGGCAAGATGTATAGTGAAGTCCAAAACAGCATAGCCTACAGTAATTGAAGTTCAAAAACTCAATGAAAAAATGTACAGAAAAGCCAATTCCAGGGCCAAACTGATATAAGTTACTCAGAGAGTGATTCAGCTTAACAAGAAGGCACAAATTGTAGAATAAATTGTACATATAATCCACAGAGATAGAGCAAGTTGATAAGCGGCCAGCGAGGCGCGTATACATTGACCAATTTAGTGTGGACACAATAATATTAATAATAATAATAACAAAAATAACAATAATAATAATAATAATAATAGTAACAATAATAATAATAATAATAATAATAATAATTATTATTATTATTTTATTATTATTATTATTATTATTGTAAGCAGGGAGTTCACCCAGTTGTAATGTTTTAATATTAAGTTGAATGTTTCTTACCTCCACCAGATGGACCACATAATGCAACAACTTCACCATGTTTCATTTTCAAATCAAAGTTCTTCAAAACTTCCTAAAAAATAAACAAATGTTGTTTTTTTTTCATTCTTCTCATCTTTAAAATGTTAATATCATTCTACCAATTTTTTAGCATTGGTTCTAATTGATATCAAACCAGTATTCACATCTTGACAAAAATGATTCTACCAAGCCTCAAATTATTAAATATGTATTTGTTTTATTTAATAAGAAATTGTATAAATTAGCCCACCTGTTCAGGCCTTGTTGGATAACTGAAGTTCACTCCTTTGAATTCAACCGTTCCATACATGCTGTGGAACGGTATCTTCTTTCCTCCTAACGCTGGCATCGTAGGTTCTAGCAGTATATACTACAAAAAATAAAAATGATTGTACAAAAAAAAATGACCAACCGAGGCAAGCTAATAATTTAACTCAGTGGATTGTGCCCAGTTAAACTGACCAGGTAAGTTTTACCGAGATGAAACGTCCAATGCGAACATGCCTCTTACTGTAGTTAAACATCCTGAGTCATTTTCGCGCTACTCAATAGACATATCACAGATTTTTGTTCTTAGTATTTAATTTTCAAGGCTTGATTAGTTTAGATTGGTAAAACTAACCTAATCAAAAATCCAAGTACGGACAATAGTAATATTTACCTATTTCAACTTAACCCACGGTTTCGGTACAATCTTGCCATTTTTAAGTCCAGTGGGATTGCGACTTTAGTCTAAACATAAATTCCTACCTCAAAAACTCTTGCACCAGCACTAATACCACGGACAGCCTGACCAAATAGAATGGACATGCTGGCCATAGATCGTTGAACTGTTTGAGCAGCAACAAGGAATGACATGAGTTCACCAGGTTTTAACTGGTGATTGGCCATTAAATATCCGCCGCAGTAGAGCACACCCAGAACAATACCTTGAAAATGAAAAAATCTTTTTAAAAACCAGTACTGAAATCAGGAACAGATTGAAAAACATATAATATCAATATCATTAATAAAAACAACATAATATTAATAAAAACAACAGAAATAATAGTAATAATAATGAGGATATAATAATTATTATTCATTTATCATCTTCACCATTCTTACAATTTTACAATATTACTAAGTAATTTTTCTACTCTTATTTATACAGAATGAGAATAATAAATTATTTTCAAAATGATTTGTACTATTATCTCATTATGGGAATAAATATGTAAATAAAACCTCTGTTAATAATTAATATTTTAGTGACAACTATTAACTACTGCAGTTAATCAATAATAAACACAATTGAACTGTTGCATATACCATTAAGAACAAAGTTTGTGAGGCCCTGGAAGAGGCCTATACCTAATCCAAGTTGCTCATTTAGAGCACTACATTTGTCGATCTGCTCAGCATACAGCTGGGCTTCTTTGGTTTCCATAGCGAATGCACGCACTGTCCGAACATTACCAAGAGCTTCACTTGCTACTGAAGTTGCTATGGCAACCTGAGAATAGAAAATATATAAATACCATCAAAGAAAAATTCATATTTCATAAGAATTGAAATTGTAGAAGCCGGTGGAACAGACACAGTCTAGGCTATCAACTTTCCAGTTTTTAGATTCTTTTTTCATTATACAATAATAATTATGTAGCTTTACTAAAATATACACACAAAATCATGATGAATTAATAACATAAAACAATAATTCCATTTATGAAATTCAATACATTTAACATCATAAGGGAAAATATATGATGATTATCATACCTGTTCCTGTACAGCTTTTGAAAATTTCCTGAGAATAGAACCAACAACAGCGCCCCCAATTACAACACATGGCATGACAACTGTCATAACACCTGTAAGCTGTGGTGAGATCCAGTAAAGTGACACCACACAGCCAACAATCTGTATAAACATAATAAATTAATTGCAGAATAATCCACACTGTTATAAACCTATTGTCTAATTATATATTTTTGAGCAACTATAATTATATATAGTTTTAAAAATAAGCATGCACACTTGCAATTATAAGATGGATCTATGGTATACTCTATAAAATAATATACTAAAAAATTTGACTATTCCATAAAGAGGAAGGGCTTATACACCTACAGTACAATTCCATAAGTGCTATGGAGCATTGATTGACCAACCAAAGAATCAGAAAATTTTTGAGAATTCATCAACATGCGTACCTGAGTTGTGCTACGAACTCCCTGAGAAATGCATAATTTAAAAGAACTTTTAAAATCCTGAACATCAGCAGATAACCTGTAAGTAAAGTAAGTAATAGGTACTATTAATACAAGCAAATAGCAAAGCTTACATTAGCTTCCTAATCTCATAAGCCTAGCACAAGCTGACTGTGTGTGGAAAGGCATCAAATGTCCCTGACGCCCCCTGCCGACACCGCCAGTATAGTCATATACGGCATGGAGGTATTATATAATACCTCCTTGCATATGGCTATAGTAAAAATAAGCTTTATCTAAACCAGAATACCTAATTGTGCATGATGCTAATCTCCAATTGTTAACAGGAATTCTTTTTAAATGTAATCCTTTTATGACATATTTATATTCCTTTTCTATGTCGTCTTTTCTCGCCAATAAAATCTGCAATAGTAAACACACTTTTTTCACCACATACCATGAAAATTATAACAAATTAATTAATAAATCTTTACCTAACCTTTCTTTAATATTTAATAATAAATAAAACACAAACTCATAAAATAAACTAACCTGTTGATTAATTCACCAGTTTTGTGAGAATCAAAAAACTGAATGTCTTGATTTATCAGCGAATTAAAGAGTTTCTTTCTCATATTGGATGCAATTTGCTCTCCAATGTTTGCTAATTATTAACACACTTTTTTCACCACATTCCATAAAAATTATAATAAATTAATTTATAATTCTTTACCTAAGCCTTTCTTTAATATTCAATAATAAATAAAACACAGAGGCATAAAATAAACTAACCTGTTGATTAATTCACCAGTTTTGTGAGAATCAAAAAACTGAATGTCTTGATTTATCAGCGAATTAAAGAGTTTCTTTCTCATATTGGATGCAATTCGCTCTCCAATGTTTGCTAATAATATGATGTAACCAGACGTGGCAAGGGATTGCATTCCATAAGCCGTTAAAAGCTTAATTGCTGGGTTGTAAATCTCTTGCATGAAATTACCTTCAGCCTCTGTGGTGAATTTTGAAACGACTTGGATCAGTTCCCCTAACAGTACAGGAATCTGAACATTGACTATTGCAGCACCAATGGCAGTCTGTCAGAAAAAATAAAATAGAATTATATAAATATATTATTTTATTAAAATATTTCTTATTTGAACTTTGGGGGCTTTGTATAGTCTTTATGTACTGTGATGTGACAAAATGGTAAAGAATATAATAAAAGTTTTGGGGGGATGGGCAAGCCAGCCCTAAACTTTTCAACATTATAAAAAAAAAAAAAAAAAAAAAAAAACTCAGACCACACAAAGCATAATAAATGTCTTATTTCCATTTTTCAAAAAACAGTTTTTGTATTTATCAATGGTTTTCATTTGCAAATTTTACTTACTATAACTGCTAGTAACAAAGACCAAATTTCTGGCCACAGAAATTTTAGGAATTCTCGGACATTAAACTCGGGTGATTTATCTTCTATAGAGCTGTTGACCAATACACGACTGCTACCTTTTGTGTTGATCTTGCATTCTGCCACATTCAGTTTGAAAGCTCCTAAACTTACTCCAATTGTAAAGACCAGTCTGGTTGGTTTCTTTCCACTTGGTCGCTGACGCAATCCAACAAGCTTCTGTTTAGGAAGCTCATGCTTTAAATGTAGATTAGAGAATCTAAAATATTTTGTAAAAAAAAAAAAAAAAAAAAAAAGATTGTGAAACATCATACTAGAATTATGAATAATGACATTGTTTTATAATCTTCAGTGAGGTGCATCTTTGTACAAAAAATGAAAATGAGATTTTTATTTTAAGAAGGAAAATGTTTACAATTCTTCTGTTTTCTAAATTTTCATTAATTATTCAATTTGCTGGGTGGCTCTCATAGTTTGTAAATATTTTTTTCATTTTAATTTTGAAGAATATGCAGTTCAGCAGTGGATTTTGGTGGGGACCAGGCTGGCCCTGGCACCCCATTTTGGAAAGTTAAAAAAGAAAAAAAAAGGAAGAAAGAAAAAGAAAAAATTGATCGCCCAAAACGCCTCAGAAGGTTATTTTCGGGCGTTTAGAAAACAAAAATTTCGCGGTGGCATAAATTTCGGACCCCGGACCCCTAGGGTGGTGTTACCTCGATCGACCCCCACTTCACCCCCTCCCCCCCCCCACTTTTCGACAATACCTGTCTCTTATACACATCTAGATGTGTATAAGAGACAGCTCTGGATCCGGGCCCCTGCAGTTTAAACATTTTCCCTCTTCTTTATGTTTATACTTTTTGTTATATGGTTATTTATGTCTGAATGAAATAAAGAAATGAATGCATGAATGAATTGAAATATTTCTACTTTTTAGGCTCATGTGAGTAGATGCATGGACAGTTGCTACAGTGTCACTTTTAGGACCCGGTCGGCCTGGGCAGCGGCGGTAAAATGCCTCTCTGAAGCCTCCTTTGGCCTAACTCTCTAAGCTTTATTTTAAAAACTAAAGCCTGTCCCCCACATGTTTAGCATAGGCACAGGCGAATACTTACTGTTGCTGTCTAGGCCTAAGTTGGATTTTTATGTTTCTATAAAGAAGTCTTGTAGTTGTACCAGCCAACAAAGACACCCGTTTGGCAGCCCAAATTGAAGAAAACATACTGTAGTTCTTTTCTTGCTGTCTTGTCTACAGTCTATCTCGTCTCGTTTCGCTGGTTTGAGGGGATTTCCCCATGAGTATGAATGAACGAATGACTAATGAAATTCATGCTGGGTATGAGCCGGAGTTGATAGGAAATGGATATTGTCACATGTGCTGGAATTATTACTCGATTTATTCATTATTTTAAATCAAACCATTTATATATTTTTGGTTTTACCTATTTAGGACATTATTTATAACAAGTCTGAATGGTTTTTTATCCATTTTGTGTTCAATACCATTTTATAGGCTTTCATGCTATTTGCACGAAACGTGCCATTAGACGCAGTAGGGGTTTTCTCTTTTCCATAGAGCATTAAACATTTGAAAATGGCGGCCAGCGGCAGCGTGGCGGTAAATTTGGGTAAGTTATTTTCTGAAATTATTAAGGGATCGCTTATTTAAAAGTTATTTTGGTATTATTCTATGAATCTTAAAAGATTAAGGTATACAAAGTTTTAAAAATGTATCTTATAATCGTATGCTGGATTAGAATACATTCTGATAAAGTTGGTAGGCTAAACTGGCAATACGAAATACTATTACTAGGCCTAGCCCGGCCCTCCCTGATGCATGTATGTAGCGCTCATTCAGTTCACTTACACTGGCAGTTGGCCTCTCTTTGAGCTGGCAGTCTAGCCTAGAGTCTTAGAGAGGTAACTAGTTGGGGGTTCCTAGTTGGCTAGCTAAGATCATAGGCCTGATCCGTATCCACGATCGAATGCAACACAGCTTAACTAAGCTCATGTCAACAACTTAAACCAAACATGGACTAGGCCTAGCCTATCTATTTGTTTATATTTATTTATTTTCCCATATTTGTTTAGTTGCCCGCCAGTGGAGTCCTTACAAAGAACTTTGTAATACAGTTGATACAGCCATTACACAGAAGACACCAGATTCTTACTATGACTTGGAGGTTGCTCTTCGAAAGTACAAGCCAGATTTTATTTCGCTGCTAAAGAACCCAGTAAGTGTGAAAGATGGACAGCGGAGGAGCTTTGTCTTTGTCTTTGGTATAAGAAACTGCATTCAATCAGATCTGTTCAACTCAGGCCTATCTAGTCCCATGATAAAATGTAGTTTAAAGAAACTTAATGGCATTGTCCTGTACCAAACAGTATCTAAATTATTTTAAATAGTATAGTGAATGCATACACAAACACAAGAGACAACACAAGACAGATTTGTAAATTTAATACACCATTTGCTAGAGATTTCTCCCAATAGAAAAGCGTTTTTTTGTTATTAAGGTTCAAAACTTGGGCTGAGATTAGTAAATTAATAATGTTTTAATTTTATAGTTCCTTTCTGTGAATGGAAAGTTCTGTTGAATGTATAATAACAATTTTGAAAAATGATGAGTCCATGAATGAAGATCAGCTTTACAATACAGGTAAATAAAATAATAAATATGTTCGTTCTTTTAATGTAAAATTATTGTAGTAAAATTAATCATGATTTTTGTTTATTTCAAGGCTAAGAATTTACAACACAGAGAGAAGATAAAGAAAGCAAACAAAGAGGGAATCGTTATAGAAGGCCAACCTGGAACAAAAACACTCCCAACGCAATTCATTGAAGAATCTCTTATCATTAGTGACCTGTTTGACCTCAATGAATATTCAGCAGTTGAGCTTCTTTTAGCAGGTAACTTTAACTTTGAACTGTGGGTACTGCCTATAATCCAGGATGAAAGTTATTCATGACTAATAATAACTCCACTCCTGCAGACTGCCTAAGGCTTTGTTTAGGTCACCCCCGAGGTCACCACAGTACTATAGTTTCATTCTACGACTCACAAGTGTATGTCTGTTAGATGAAAAAAATATACTGGAAAATTGCTTTAATTAGTTTGGCCCTCATCTTTCCACAGGAGAACAACAGCAGCCCCACTATCCTGGAATACCACGAGGACTGGTAGCCGTCCTCCTGTATTATGATGGCCGTAGAAGTATCGTGAATGCCCTCCACCTACTCATACAATCTCGCAAAGGAAGAACATGGACCCTGGAGTTAGATGAAGAGATGATGCTGCTCACAACTAAATTCACAAATGACCTACTGAAGGATGGATTAGTTGACAAGATCTTACGCCTGCTTCTTGAATTTCTACCGGAAAAAGAGATTGAGAAACTGGCAAAGCAAAGAGCTATTGGGAGTTTCAAGCATCGTCATCAGGTAATGACTAATTAATAATAATAACTGATAATTATAAGTCATTCTTATACTTTCTAATACTTATTTTGCAAAAAAAGTTCTATTCTAATATGCGAGGTCTTGCCACAAAATGAGTCTCATGGTTAGAAATTCAAAAATTGAGTATTATATTTGGGTAGATCACATTATAAGCTTTCATTTGGTCTTTGAATGGCTTCCCTACTATAAGTAAATCCAGAGATGTGAGCATTTAAATTTAATGTGTATAAGAACGTTTTGAGAAAATCAGCCTCAAAGATAAACTAACCTGTACAAATAATATGACTAGAATTACAGAATATGTGCAGAGAACACTGTTTTGGTAAGAAAATTCACGTACAAAATATACAATCATAAAATATAAGTATCAAGTTATTAAAAAACATTAAAATCAAAATTTTGTAAAAATGTTGACTTTGGCCTGTTTTGGTGAATATCTCAATATGATTTCACCAACGATGCGTCTCATTTCGTGGTGAGACCTCACATATATTCTTGCTATGTTGTTTTGTATGAGTTCTCTTCTGTTTTGAAATTGCCCAATCAATAGTTTGCTTTTAAGGACACCTTTAAATATTGTTAAATTGAATGAATGATTGATTTTACCCATCAGGTGAGACTTTTTATACCTTGTTTAGCGAACCCGCCGACTGTAAATATTGATGATTTCGCAAAAAAAATAAAAAATTTTATTTTCGCCACGAAAAAGTGGAAATGAAAGAAAAAAATTATAAGTTTTTCTTTATTGTTATTGCGCCCTCTGCTGCCTTGAAATCTCCAAAGATAAGATATGTATATTTCTTCTTAATTATATAAATTTGAAGCATTTAACCATCCTATTTTACATTCACCAATAAAATTTTATTTTTAATTTCTCCTCCGTCTGGACGATTTTGGCAAAACTATTTGCTAAGTAAGAAAACCAAATTTAATTTTTATTTTTATTCTGCCCTCCCCTGATAATCTTTAAAAAAATGAGTATGCAAAACAAGGAATAAAACAAGTCTCGCCTCAGGTTTCAGACCCTTTCACTGACCGTTTGGTTGCTGTACCAACTGAACTGGAGCCAAACTCAGCTTAGATTCTTCATTTTTTTAAAGTATTGCATAATACATAATTCATAGTTATTGCATATTAATTTGAATTTGGAGTTTCAGATAAAAAGACAAAGTAATAAGCAAAATAAAAAGAACAAAGGTGTTATTGGAAATGAATTTCCAAAATATCTGTCCAATTTTGTTACATTTTGTTCCATCTATCATTTGCTGTTATAGGTGATGGAACTGCTGAAGGAGATTCGATGTTCACTTTCAGAATGCCTATTTTCTCTTGCCTGCCAGACACCCCTTGACAAGGCAAACACAATGGCACTGATGGACTACCTGAAGAAAAATGCAGCTCTGACCGCTGATGGCACTGTAGATGATGAAACTCTAACATTGTTAATTTCCTTTATGTACTGCGCACATGTAGGTGTCTTGGAAACTGATGCAGAGAGTCGAAATGGTAAGAAATTGGTGTTACACTACAGTGCAGTCATTGGGGATACAACATGGTTAATTTCTTTAATAATTATGGATTTCCAAACTCTGGCCATGTCCCACACACTGTACCTGTGTTTTTGAAACCAAGTGTTAATCAAAGTGAAATATTATCATTTAAAATATTTTTTTAGATTGCTATATATGTTGTTTTGTAGATATAATTAAGTCATTACCATGTCTAGCAGATAAAAGTTACATCTTAGAGATCCAAGAAAGTTTAATATCAGATGATGTCTGGGCTGTTCCTGCTGTCAAGTCTACATTACAGTTTGTTTGGGCAGTGATGCTCAGAAATATTGCCCAACAGTCTGATACGCAAGGTAAGCAAATGCTGGCCTCTAACATGCCTCTTAACAAAGTATAAACTGTATAGTTTTTTTACACAGAATAATAACCTTTTCTTATATCCACACGCAATATAAACATGGTCTAGCCAGAGCTCAATATGTTGTTTAGCAGTACCATTATCAGATGTTTCTTGATTTTGATATGCGTTGTTGCGACAGGATTAGTGATGCCCAATGCTGCAAGCGTGGATGCTTTTATATATTATGCTACAAATTTTTGTTATTAAACTGCAGTATAATAGTATATTAAGGCACATCTATTGGTTTAAGATGTGTATTCATAAGTATGACTATTAACCGAAAGGCTATTTGATTGCCAGACATTCTGCTGAGTCATTTCTCTTTTCTTTTCAACTAAGTATCTTGCTGACAGTGCTAAGTTGTCGATAGACACTTTGACAGTGAAAAATCTTAATAAAAATTTTATTTGGCTAATAGTCATTTCACAATGTGAGGGTTGGTTAAATGCCTGTCAACAAAACATCCTTGTTTGCAGTCTCAGTTGGTATGTTGATAGGTATTTCCATGTGTTTTTTACAGACTTACAGGAACTTATTGAGGCAGATGAGATGCTGATGGACATGGCACTGGAAGGAAATGCATTCAAGTTTCTTCTAGATACCATCACCAAAAAGGAGCACTTCCATGATAGTGTAAGTACAGTATATATAACAGTCTAACTGTTTGTGACAGTTTAAAGCTCTATTCACACTATTAAATTGCATTTGACACATTTGTGTGATGTGCCCCCATGTAGGCATGATGATGTCATATTTCACCCAAATATGGGCATATCACATTTTTTTGTCACATTTGCACACATAAAGATTTTGCTGTTTTAAGTTATATAAGCTATTAACTGTTTATGTTTATAAATTCAATAATATTGTTATTAATTTTTTTTAGGAATTTCAAGTGAGGCGCTTTCATGCCCTTATTACAGATTTCATTGTCCAGATGCCACTAAAGGTAAGATAGGAACTGAGATAAAAGTATGTAAACCATGTATGTATTATGATAGTGTAAGTATGTTAAACAATGAATACTGCAAGAAATATATTGGCCTACACCTGTATAGTGCATACTATAATCAACTTACTTGCATAAATATATAAAGCTCTGTTATACTGTGTGATGTGCCCCATGATGATGTCATATTACACCCAAATATGGACATACCACATTTTTTTGTCACATACAATTTGTGTGGACGGAACTAAATGTTTGAATCAGATTCTACATCCAGCCCTCCCTCAGTGCTTAGTTCATATTATAAGAGTGTTAGTAACCTTGAATGCCCCTATTATTATTTGCTGTTTTGTTCAGATAAAAGAGCTTCGTAACCGTGGAGATGAAGCTGCACGCATTCTGCTTGCTCATGCACAAGAAGGAGTAGAACCACCAGTAAACCTTCCAAGGCACTTTGAATATTTCATGAGATTGGTAAATTGAAATTGAGTTTAATTATCTCTCATTGGATTATTACTAGTTTGTAATTAAGATCTTTAAGTATCTTCCTCATATTTCTTCCTCTTATAACAAAAACCCAATATAAATTTGATAGACATTGGTCATGAGGGAAAATTAGTTCCTATAGACAAATTCAAATTAGAACATGGTGGGTGATAACATTGGTAAAACTCTAAATAATAAGAATGGATTTTAAGGATGGAAAAGTGGGTTAATAAGGGTGGGTGGATGGCCATGAAATTAGCTTTAGACTGGGTGAAAAACTTCAAGGCTGGTGACCCCACCCAAATCCGCCCTACATAGCTACGTCCCTGAATAGTTAGGTAAGACATTTATACAAATAGTGAAGTTTGAGTGGGGTAGTTCCAAATCTGAACTTGTATGATTTTTTTTATTTGATACATACTATCTTCATAGATTTCAGCCTTGTACCGAACTGACCCCCTAAGTTTGGAACTGGCAGCTGAGTTTTGGTGTCCGTCTGAACATACATTAAGCCCTTCTAGGAGTAGCTACCTAGCACAATTCAGACATAGACCATCAAACAGGCAGGTAAGGACAAGAATCATGTTTTTTATGTGTTGGTTTAATCATGTTTTTTATGTGTTGGTTTAATAGGTCAACATGTGTTTGTTTTGTTCATCTTCAGAAGGGCATGTATTCTAATGATACATTATTAAAAATATTTGAAAACCAAAGTTGTTTGATAGGTTTAATTGTATATAATAGCATGTATAATGTAATATATTTGCATGTAAAATACTATATATGATAATATATAATACTATATAATGATTAAAGTAAACCCCTGAAAATCTTTTGTCTTGCATATTGACATCTTCCAGTAATGATTGTTGTGTTTTATACAATATAGGTGAGTTTGTTCAAGTTCATACGCATGGCAGGGGATCTGCTACCGCCCTCGCTCTATGTGCCTTACATCGCAATGCTGACAGGCTTGGCTACTGGGCCCATATGTGCTCACCATTGCTTTAACCTCCTTAAGGTCAATGGAGCCGCTGGAGGTAAGAGACAGTTTTAAAAATATTTCATATTGTTTTTCTCTAATGGAAATGTAAATGTTCATTTTTCATTATCGTCGTCATTTTCATCATCTGATTTTATCATATTTATTATATCTTTATAATTGTTATATTAGTATACATCAATATTAGTATTAAAATGATGGACACAAAGGGAATACAAATTGGTACTAGAAACTAGAGTTGTTGTGTCTAGCATGTGCTTGCCTGAAATAAGGCCCCAAAAGTATTTTTGTTGCCCAACCCTGACACATAATCTAAAAAATCTAGGCGCAAGTTTTTTTTTTAATGCAAAATGTTATTTTTTGTACCAAGGTGGAAGTGTGACATCAGTATCATGGGATCACTTCTTTCAATCATTGAGTCGTTACTATGCCAACCTCCGTCAAGAAGCCGGGGCAAGCAATGTCGGAGGTCAAACCTATCGTCATATATCTGGAAGAGGTATTACCCCTCAGGAACTTGAGGGACTGGTCACTGTGCTTAAATTAGTTCAAACTGTTGCTGAATGGGTAAGCATTGTGGGTTAATCTCATCTATTTTGTGGAAAATATACCTAGCTAAACTAAATTGATAGAATATGATGGCTTTGTACCTGCCATCTAACTTTAGCTACAGTAAATAAAAAAATTGATTTTTATTGCAATTTTATATCAGGAATGCATGGATTTTAGTTATAGGTTGATTAATTGAAACAACTACCTGATAATGCTGATTTGTTTCTTGTTGTTAGGATGAAGAAGCACGTATTGGGCTGTGTGAGAACCGATCCTGGTTGCCAATCGTTCTGTTGCTTGGTATTGTAACTTGCAGTGTACCACCGCTACTGAAGGCAGAGTGTTTAAAGGCACTGGCAAACTTTGCTAAGACACCAGAACTAGCTGCAAACCTTTGGCAGGCGCTTGAAAACTCTCAGGTACCAGTAGTTTGATTTTAGTTGGTGCTAATGGTAGTGGTGGTAGTGAGGGTAATCGTAATGGTGTTAAAGAATAGTAATTGTAGTATGGTGATGAGGTTGATAATGGTAGTGGTGGTAGTGATGGTAATCTTAGCAGCAGTGGTGTTGATGGTGATGAAAATGTGGTTATGTTAGTGATGGTAAAGGTAACAGTAGTGGTGGTGATGGTGATGGTAACAGTGGTTATGGTGATGGTAACAGTGGTTGTGGTGAGGTTAACAGTAATAATAGTGATGAATGCAGTGATGGGGAGAGTAGTGTTGTGATGATGGTAATAGTATTAGTATTAGTGATGGTATTGGTAAGAGTAGTGGTAGTGATGGTGAAGGTGATGTGAAATTTTCCATTCTATCCTGCTGTTCTTTATGAATATTTTCTTTATTTAACCAATGTTTTAGATTTTACCAACTTTAGACAGGGATTCAGCAACAGGTTCTGGCATTCCCTTGGATTTGGAAATAGTTGAGTCACGGAATGAAGAGTTTCCCCTGACCATAGGCTTCCTGGAATTCATGTCGTGTCTTGTTGACATACCGATCCCAGATACCCTCGGCTCCGGTCTGCGAGCACCAGGATTTGATCCTTATTTAGAATTTTTGCGTGACCAGGTGTTTTTAAAGTTCCACACTCGTGCTTATCGGGATACCAAAGAAAAGGTGACAGTCATGTTTACTATTGGTCTTGTTTGAAATTTTTGGCATGGATTATTTTGTAAAATGTTTTGCGTAGTGTATCCCAGTGTACTGGTCATTGTCAAGGTAACTATGATGATGACAACGATTATTTTGATAAAGAATAAGATGATAATGGTGGTGGTGATTATTATTATTGTGATGATAGATATTATGATAATGATAGTAATGATGATTATTCTTTTTAATATTCCAGTGGGAAGTAGCTTCCAAATCTCTGAAGATCTTTCATAAATTGCTCCGAGATCATGATCCCAGCATTGAGGATTTCATGGACCAAGTACTCGATATTCAGGGAGGTGGGAAAACAGTCGCCAACAAGCCTGCAGGTCATCATCTCCTCTTGCACCTGCTTAATGATAGTCACCTTCTTAAACTGGTGAGTAGTAAAATCCCCATTTTTTGGGATACTGTATCTGTATTAGTAGTAGTAATATTACTCGCTCTTGTTAGGAGTTATTATTAAGGTTATTTTGTAAAGGTTTTTATTTTACAAGTCACAAAATTCAAATAAATGGATGTATCAGGATGGTGATGATATGATGTTTACTATGATGCGTCATCATCATCATAATGATCATGACACTGAATATGATCAGATGATGATCATCATCATAATATTTATGCTAAGAATAATAATCCTGATTCTTATGAAGTGTATTCTATTTGATTAATTAATTATATGCTGATTTGATGTCAATGAGATATTGTTCTACTTAATTTCCGTGATGAAGTTATTCTTATCTCATCAACAGCAGTCCATCCACTGGCACACAGCTACTCCATGTCACTTACTGCGTGTTGTGACTAATTAAAATTGTATGTCCTTTTCAGATGTTGTTTATAATCCATGAAGCACGTAGGCTGCTTGATCAATATAAACCATTTCCGGGGAAGGAACATTTAGAGTCTGCTGCCCTCTATTGCCTAAAGATGATTGACATTGCTTTAGAGAAACAAGAAAAGTTCTTTGACCTAGTCAGAAGTCAAAGTTTAGGGGTCATGGTGACCCCCATGGACCAGTTGCTGATGTCAATTAACCCCAAAACAGGCAAAGCAGATCATTTGGTGAACATAGCAAAGTAAGGAAATATATTCAGTCATTTATTTCTCATTTGCATAATAGTGTTAAGCCGGCCACCCATTGCGCCCGATGGTCGTCGGCTGACATGATTCTACGGAGAACGCAACGCCACTACATGCGCACAGTGAATCTTTTTTTTATGACGATCTGTCCGGACTGCGCCCGACAACTAGCAAACAGCATTACATCGTCTAACGCTCACATGGAATAGAGTTGAATTGTCGGCCAACTGTCTTACGACCGTCGTATGATGCAGTAAGTGCCCGGCTTCTACGGGAACCTTATGTAATACTCCACCAAGGAGCTGAGTATGTGTTCCACCTGTATGATTGGTCCAGTGAATATGAAGCATTTGGGCATTAGCTCTAGGATATTATGTTAAATGCTTAATTCCTTAATTCTGTCTTTTAGGTTCGTGTCCCATGCCACTACTCACCCAGAGCATGCATTGGTTTCTGTCAGAGTATTGTTAAACGTTGTCAAGACATCAAACATCCAATCGCAGATCGTTGGTTTTTTTACTGTTGATGAGGTAAATAGACATACAGCTCTCTTTATTTTATCTGATTGCCCTTCTTGTTTAGTATAACTCCTCCATTTTACTTGCAAGTTATTTTCGTTCTGTCAAAGATAGTGTTCAATCGAAGTAATCATCAATGATATTTTTGTTTGCAGGCTGTCTCCAAAGAACTCATAATCGGTTTTGTAGATTGTCTTGAAACTGAAGATCACGAAGAGGAAGAGGGGGAAATACCACAGAATTTCCAAGATATCGAAAGCATGGATGTGACGAACATTCGCAACGCAACACGTCTTTTCATCATGCAGCTTCTGCTCTTCTCTTTAGGCCAACCGGCTCCAAATTTAGCACATCTACTTCTGGGATTTGATATACAAAAACCAATTAGTAAGAGTAACCTCCAAGACCCAGGTGTGTTAGGCTCGCCACGTACCTGTCTTCACGCTATTTTATGCATCCTGGAGAGGGGCATTGGGAAAGGTTCCAGACTAACCTCCATTCACACGATGCCAAAGCTAGCTGATCTGTGCTATGAGATGGTGTACCAAATATGTTCCAACCGCGAGACGTGTATCCCAATCATGCGCTATCTCGGCATGACCCATAACTTTTTTTACCGTCATCTAAGGCACATCCCATTCGTAAATGGAATTGGACGTAAGCAATATTAATACGCATACTTTTAATAATTTAAATATGGCTGATGATTTATTGAAAGATAAGAGTAAATAACTAATTGATTGATTGATTGATTGAATATGATTTTAAACAGATAATATAATATTTTGATTCCTTTTTTTGTAAATTATAGTTTTATTTGGATTTTTTTCGATCATTTTCCTTTTAACCCTGACTTACCAAAGTCCATGTCATTTACCGAAAACTTTTCTTTTTAAAATAATTTTTCACTCAGAAAATACAAGTGAGAAGTTGCTACTTAACCAACAAGCATGGCTACTCAAGTCTGTTGCCGTGGAAATACGTCTGACATCGGTCAATAGGCAAAGGTCCAACACGCAAAGGCTCCTCAAATTGCTGTTAGAAGATGTGCCGTCTCCTGTGGTAGACCGAGGTAAATGGCTGCTTGTCTACATATTAGGGTTAATGCTGTGTTTTTTATGTCTATTTTGTGATTACATACACTGTATATGGATGATATGTGCGGGGTAGTTTACTCAGGATGCCAATGGCTGACTGTTCCATTTATTTTCGAGGGATGTTCCTACTTTATAGAGAATTACCAACAGTTGCTTTATGCAAATATATTTGTGTACAGTAATTTGTGACTTTTAATTAAACTATTTTGATTTTTGGTAATTTTTGTCTCAATTTATACATTTTTATTAATGTTTATAAATTGTAAAATTCAACCACTTTATTTGATATTTGCTGAATGATGACCGATTGGTTGAATGATTGATAAGTTTGCAGCAACTCACTATCAGAATAGAATTCAGATAAATGTTGTCTTCTTTGACTTTTTATCATGTCCACGGTTATAGATGATAATGATGAAGATGGATATGGCGAAACCAACCAATCAATTCTGGAGACAACTGTAGGTCAACAGGTTGGGCCTAGTATTACAGGTATTATAAACATTGGTCTTGCACATTAATAACAGTGTTATTATGTATACATCCATTGTTTTTGTTGCTGTGTTGATTAAAGAAACAGGATATAACTTATATTTACATAAGCATAATGGAAAAAACAGGAACTATCAAGCAGAAGGAAAATGTAACTGCTGATGAAACACTTTTCACTCAAAATGTATTATGTCGATTTTTTGGATTTCAATAGTTTTGTAATCACTACATTATATTCCCAGGTATGCAAATTCGTCGAAAAATCCTGCAGGTTCTAGACAGCATTGACCTGACCCAGGACTACCCTGGGACCGTTCAGCTAGACTTACTTGATCCCACTGTCACGGAACAATTGATTAAATCATGTGAACAGCAGACGGACCGTGGGATGACTGTTTGTAACATACATGCCTTGCATCGAGAATTAATGGGCAGGTTGAATGCCCAACAAGGCCCTGCTGTCATAGGAAATCGACCACGTATCTTACAGGTTAGATGGTTTTATCACATTCGCAAATGCCCTCTAGAGCTGGGCACTCACTGCGTCGTACGTCTGCTGATTGTCGGTGGCTCTCTCACGCATGTGTTGTGCCGTTGCGTTCCTCATAGAATCGTGTCGGGCGTCGTGAGTGACCGTCTTAATGTTATCATCTTGGTGGAATTTACTTATGATTCAAGACCACTCACAACAATGAAATATCAAACGTGTAAAAGTCTAAAAGATTTTAATGGAAGATACAGTCATTTTCAATTGTCTGATGTTTTGTTTATTTTATTTAATAAGTTTGTAATTTTTTTTATGTGTAGTCTTTTGAATATGTACTGTATATTCAGAAAAATTAATTTTTAATGTAAGCTAGTGCATGACATGATCAATTTAATTAATTGGAACGAATCTAAAAAATCCTTTATGTACATTAGTTCTTTACACGTTTTTATTTTAAACCTGTGCATTTTTTTTTTATATTTATGATTGCCAGGAAATCCAAGCAATTTTGAAAAACGTAGTAGAATGCAATCTAACAAAGGAGATGGCAGCGGCTAAACGCCACTCTCTTGATGCTTGGCGGCACGTGGTGGAAACTCTGTTTGTTTCATGTTCTCAAGATTTACTCCCTCTAGAGTTACGAGAAACCATACTGCTCGAGTTGATTCAAGAACTGCTGACAAAGGTACTGTTCCAACTCTAAAAACTCATAGATAAACACTCTCAGGAGAGTTGGGCAAGTTAAGGACCACGTTTGTATCAGTCTGTATCCGTTTGATGTTGTGGTTAAGTCGGGTAGTTTGCGCCAAACTATGGCTACCGCGGGTCCCTGGGGACCGAGCCCAAATTTTCCAGTGTGTAGGCATACATAAACGAGGATAAAACAAAATAAAGAATTATTACTATTATTATTATTATTATTATTATTATTATTATTATTATTATTATTATTATTATTATTATTGTTATTATTATTACTGTAACAATAAGAGTATAAGTCCTTCCCATGATAAAGTCACGTAAAAGTGGAAAGCATTGCCTCATCTTTGATGATCCAAAGGTATTAGGAATGGTCGAGAGTAAATAACGACATCCCACGAGGTAGTCTGGCAAACATTTTACAGATATTATAGTTATCTTTATCTTTTTAGGTTGCTGATGATGCTACAGTGCCAGAGCTTACCGCTCCTGTATCAGGCATTCTAGTTTCTCTAATGACAAACTTGCACCAGTGTGCCGTAATAGGTCAGTCCAAGTCCATCCCAGAGCAGCTCTCTACACAGTACGTTCATATGCTGGATGGATCAGTAGTGCATGGCAGTGGGTCAACATTTGGCAGCTCTGGCGTAATGACCTCCACCGTGCTGTCAGAGATTCTCCGCAAACTTCTCACATTTTTAGTCCAATCAAGTAAGAATTAAGTATACATTTGTTGTTTGACATAACAGCTAATGAATATTATTAAGTTGGTAAAGTTAATACCTTTTTAATTTTTTTCCATTTCTGTTCTGTCAATCATACAGCTACTGGCCAGCTGCGTGTACGTAGCAATCTCTACGGAGCTTTAATGAATTTTCTGCAGATGCCACAGAAGGTTCAGGAGATTCCAACACTGAAAGGCCGGAATGTGCTGGATTCGCGCATGTTGACAGAATACGAGAAGATGACAGCTGCAAGCCTGGCAGTAATCTCGGAGTTCGGCGACAGCTTCATGGACTTGGTGTGCAGAGATGCTTGTGATGGACATGATGTTGGCAGGGTAAAGTCTACTATTACTGCTACTATTATTACTAATGCCATTGTTATGATGACTACTACTACCCCACTCTTGATGACCATGCTTACTTTCCACTGTTATTTATTTGAATTATAAATATGTTACTTTCTCTCTTATGGTAATGTCATCCCTCCACCTTTTTTTTCATCATTTTTATCAATTATTACTAAATGTTGTTCATTTTTTCCCCCCTCAATAGATGCTAGCATTGTCATTAATAGACTCTATCCTAGCCACTGACAAGCAACATCGATGGCTTCACTTCCTAAACTCTAAGGGATATCTAAGACATTTAATACAGGGTCTGGTACAAGAAGACCAGGCATTGCAGAATATGTTAAAGCCTACTCCAGAACCACTCCGTGCACTATACATTTATGAATCAAAAATGGTAAGCAATTTTCCCATCACTATTTTCATCCTCACAGTCATAAGCATCATCATCCTCATAATCATCATCAATTGACTTCAATGTTGGTTATCAGCATTCTCATTATCCTCATCCAATAATAGAATATGATTTCATTAACTTGCAATATTTTTTGTAGTCCCTCTTAACACGTCTTGGTGAAACACCAATTGGTGCGGAGGCTCTCCTACAACAAGGGATCATGGGAAGACTATCTGAGTGTCAATTTCTTGAACTTCGACCTGAGAGGGATATATCAAGGTTTGTCATCAATATTACTATTTTGCAAAGTATTTGCAGTTTGAAAAAAATAAGTAGATATTATTTTGGAATATCTAATTATTAGATATGTACATCAATGATTATGAAGTTTAAGTTTATATACTTTTTTGTTTTATTCTGTTATGTAACATTGATAAGTTATTATTTTTGTGCTAAGCATGAGCAATGTAATTTCATAGTAATCTTACAATAATTTATAATAATGCTAATTGACCTCAGTAGTTAATGTGCACTTTGACCTCATACCGTTGTCATAGCGCCACTAAACATTGCATTCTTGATATTGGCGCTATACAAATCCTTGTTGATTTATTTATTGATTGACTTTTGAGAATACTAATAATTTTATTGTATCTTAATTTATGTACATTGTTCCATCCTGTATTTGTTGAGTGTACAGTTAAACTTGCCTAAGTCGACTTTCCTAACTTGAGTAATTTCTAAGTCGATCTTATTTTACATGACAAATTGTTGTGTTTTCCATTAATTCAAGATCTGTAAGTCAAATTTTATCTAAGTCAAACAATTTTTCAATGTCATACTTACATTTAAATGGTGAAATAAATTAAATAAATTATTGTGACTTGTGACCAACAGGAGGGGAGAGGGTGGAGATGCCCTCCAGGTGGATGCATTCATACCCACCGTGTTGCACCGGTACAGACAGCTGCTGTTCCCTGTTCTAAGGCTTTGTGTTGCTATTATGACCTCTCTTGGGGGTCAACATAAGGAGGCAGCCAATCAGGTAAGACCAAGGTATTCAGACAATTGTTATAACAAAAAAAATCCCTTTGTGATAGCATATTGGTAAGGCACTGAGCTTTATACCAAAAGGATAAGGTTGAAGCTTGAGATTAATCACTTGTTTGTGTCCTGGTTTTCATGGAGTTAGGAAATTGGACAATTTCAAGTACATTACATAACATATATTAAATTCAAGATAACTGACACTGACCAAGTCAGACATGAGTAAACATGCACCATATGTATCTATTATGAATGAGTCTTAAATTTTAGATGATTTGGTGGGAGTTTTTTTTATATATGTATCTGATTTCTATTTTCTTTATTTTATTTAGATCTTACGTTTTGTGTTCTCTCACTCTGAATTGTTCACTGCGATTCTTCGTGACTATCCATCTCGTCTAACAGTCGAAGCTTTTCAAGAGTTGTCTCTAACTACCGCTGTAATCTGCAGAACCGCAGCAGATGGTAAGATTTAGATCAATTTATTCAAATTTGATCTAAATGGGTGAGTTTATAAAAACATGGGGTGTTAAAAATTTTGAACTTTTTTCTTCCTGTTCCATTGCAGTTGATTACTATGGTGGCTCGCCGTATGATGAGATTGGCAAATCACAGCTAGTGATTCAAGGTCACTTGAGCAGAATCCAGCGTCAGATCTTAGCATTGGTGCCACGATACTGCATCCACGATCATTGGAATAAACAACTGAAAATGGCAAGTCAAAATGAAATCAAAGAAGAGGACAAGGAGAAGATACGACTTGCACTACTAGAAATAAACTCCAACATCATTGCCTATTGCAGGTCAGAGGTCACCAGTGCTGGTATGTTATTTATCATCAATTATATTTTTTCATTAGGATTGGAGCTATAGCTTTAATGTTAAGATATTTGCCTTTTAATTCTAGTGTCCTGGGTTCATTTCTTGTCTAGAAACAAGATTCTATTCACAACTAAAAATAAATCCATCATAATGGAATCTAGTTAGATATACTGTGTATTTTATTATTATTGTATCTTATTGGGCTGATAGACGAGGAAGGATTTATTATTCAGGCTCTTTCAGACAATTTTCTCAAAGGTGGATTTTTGCATCTAGTTTCACTTGTTTTTTGTGATGTGTTGCTTATTCAGAAGATGCACTCACTAAGCCTCACAACAAAAGTTTATGTAGAGCATTATGTGTTTACATTTAGGTGTGACTGGCAGCTCTTGCACTGTGCTGTTTACTCCAAGTTTATCTGAAGCATTGGCCAGGGATTACCACCAAGTAACTGGTAAGTAGGGTTCCTATTATATAATTAAATGCATAGTAGGCTGATGTTTCAACACAAAATGAGCCATCTACACCTTGTTTATTTTATTATTGTATCAGTATTTCTAATTTAAATGCAGGATTTACGATGTTTACTAGTAAAAAATTCAATAGAATTTCCAGAAAAGACACTGATATATTTTCTGTTTTTAAAGATATCCCAATGGCATCTTTGAGTGCTACTAAACCACCAAGTCTTGGGATTATTGTGCGGCATCTCCGTCAGGTTGCCAACACCTTCCTGCCATCATTAGACGCCCACCAACAGATGGTCCACAAGCTGTCCAACATCACAGAATTATCCTCCGAGGAACTGAAAGAGGTCGCTAAACATCACTTTTTTTCAAATCATTGTTTTTTCATTTGTATTACATCGATCATTTTTTAGGTCTCATTAAGATGTTTAGGGAGTAGTGTTGAACTAAAATCAGGCATTTTTTCAGGATTTTAACCCTACAGTATGTTGTTAGCAGGATACAATCTATTTTCATGAATTTGTGACATGGTGCCTTTAACATGTCAGACATAAGTAGATTTAGCTCTTATGTCTACCTTGAAAGAAAAGCCTGTATACACTAATTTTGTCCAACTGATGAATTCGTCCAGGCTATGTGTAAATGCTTGCGTGACGTAATAAGAGATTTAATTAGTAATTCTGAAAATAAAATTAATTTTACGTTATTTTTAAATTAGATCATTAAACCAGTCATCACTGATGGAATTGAGAAACTGTCGGCAAGTTATCGGCAACAAGTAGCCAGTCGAAAACTTGCCCAGGTGATTCGGTTGAAAGCCCAGGAGCTGGCCCTCAAATACTGTATCCTTTGGACTTGGCAACAAGAATGATTAGTTGGAGATAAATGATTAATCATTTTCTTTGTAAACTACAAGTAAAAAGAAATATTGTTGATCTCCAATAACTGTGTGTGTAATTGATTGACTGGCAAACTGATTGATTGACTGGCTGGCTGATTGACTGAATTTTTTTCTTATACGTTGTGATGATAAAGGTTTTATTTGTTTTGTCTTTGACTTTTTACTAAGATATTTTGGAGAATTGCCTATTTTTGATCTGGCGCCACCTAGAGTTTTACCTAATCCACTGTCAGCCAGCCGACTCAAATCACTCTCTGCTGCCACCACTGATGACACAGAGCCACCAAGCACGAGATCTTGCTGGTAAGTTGAATATCTTATTTATACTAAAATAAGGATGCTTACACACCCACATACATACTTTTCTAATTTACTTTCTTGTGATTTGTTTTAGATCCTTTTAATATTGATGGAAGTGGGACTGAAGGAAGAAGCTTATCATCAACCATTAATCAAACTAACAACATCTCCAAAGGAGACATTGAACAAGTAAGTTTATTTATACTATTCTTAATCTTGTAGTTATGATACAATTAATGGGGTTAAATATGTGTTGATTGAGAGTCAGGAAGTGTTCCCTCTCGTTAATAGGGGTTTGGCTGTAGTGTTAAAAGATATATTTTGCCTTAATTAGAAGAGTCTGTTCTTAATAGGGTGTACCCTGAATAGGGTGTCCCAAATGAGGGGGATTCTACTGTAGTATCATAATTCTTTATTAACCAATTATAGTTTAAAAATTATATATTTTGGTAATAGGTTTGTGTATGTTGATAATGATGATTTAATATATTCTAAAATCAAATTTGTGTTTACGATTTTCTTCAGCTGAAAGAAGAAGCAGTTAATTGTCTTACTGAGTCTCTTCTCCAAAAATTTCGAGACGTGGAAGCGCAATACGGAAAAACTGTTTCACGTTACAGCTTTGTGTCTGTCCTAGCCCGTCGCATTCACCGACTTCTTACGATTGGCATCCAAACTGAACTACCTATACGCTAAGCTATTTTGAAAGGTTAATCCTTATATGCGAATGCATAATTGGTCGGTCATTTCAATTGCCCGGTAATGACCTGATATTAGCTTAGTGTCATCATCCAAGACATGTGCAAGATTACAGCAGTTTTTCTCATTATGAATCATGCATACAACCAAACTATAGAACTGCAAGATGTCCGAATCTCGGGGTTTCATTGAAAGGTAATCCTATCTCGAATAGTACTACAGTACCACAAACTCTATTTGTATTCAAATTGGGCGCCCCCTACCTCATGGTAGTACTTTCCTTTTGTTTCATTGTGTGCATGAAAAATCAGGGCACTCGGATTTAATGCAGTTTACACTCGTGATAAGACTAATTAATTTATTTTAATGTCCATTCCTAACATATGTTGACATCGTTCACATGTGAAATATTATTAATAATTTTCATGCAATGTTCGGAAGTGTTGTGGCTTGCTAAAAAAATATTATGTTTGTATGATAATACTACTGCTCCACATTTATACTTTTCTTGAACTTTTCAAGTGCATAAATAAAAGACAATTGTATTGAATGACAATCTTTTGTAAGAACAGTTGCAATAAATGTTGCTACAGTGAACCTGTTGTTACTAGACTGTCTTTGCAGATGTTTTTAGGAATAATTTAAACAGAATGATAAAGAAGCTACTTACAATGGACATAAAACGAGACGACGACGACCACAATTCGTCGGGGGGGGGGGGTGGTTGGATTATACAGTTATTATATTTTATACATATTTGACTATCTATAAAATCGATTAAAGAAGCCCTTGAAACCCCTAAATTTTCATATTTTTGGGGGGATTTTCCCCTGGACCACTTACAAAATATTTTAAGAGACACATCGACCAAGCCCATTTTGCCCTCGTCAGGGAAATTGACCCCCCCCCCCTATCGGGGAGATCCTGGCGCCATTCCCTGCGCTTAACCAGACTCTTAACTGTAGAGGGCATGAAGTACAAGATACTAACGTCATAGAATGGACAATCTGAAATTATTGGAAACGATTAGCAACATAGATAAATAAGCTTCCTGATTAATTACTGTTACTACCAAGGCACATTTACATATACAGTACATATTGTAATCATGTGAAATGTGGATACAGAGAAAATAAGTTGGAAAGACAAAATAAATTAATATTAGGTAGTTAAGAAGTAGAGTGGCCCACAATGGGTGTTTTCTCACTTAAATAACCAATAGACGTTGATTGTGTCAATTTGTAATTCAAAAACCATTTTTATTGTCACATACCATGATTAATAAAGTGGTTAGTAGTTAACTTCAGCTCCCTTTATTCAGAATAGAGCCAAGATTCCTTTAGCAAAATCTGAACACAGGTAGGAAAAAACAACACTATTGTGAAACCTGATACAGTATAACTACATAGGTATATCAATAGATAAATAATAATAACAGTGCTCAAATTTAATAGGAACATCACATAAGATGTTATAATCGTATCAAGCATACTGTAGCCCTTTCAATGAAAAGTTAATTTTTTCAGGTGTATCAGTGCTCGACTACAGGTTTGAATCCCGCTAAAGACAATTTTTTTCATACAACAGAAAAGGGGCATTTTTGCTGAAGGGCTATGCTTAATACGATTAGGCCTATACCATCTTATGTTTATATTCGAGCACTATTGTTACTATCTATACATTTTTACATTGTGTTTACCTTGCTATGCAGCAAACCTTTGAATATTATTTATATAGGTATATGTCTTAGACGTAACCCACCATTGAAAGAATAATCCAGGTATCTCACTCATGCTACTACTAACGTCGTCACTACTGATTTGTGAAATGGACATTTCCAGAATGTCCACCAACAATCGACCAATTAGAACAGGGTTAAGAATACGCGGTTGTCCCACAAAAAGGTGATGCGTTGTCCCACAAACACACTTGCGTGTGTCCTAATGTACGCTGTTGTTTTGTGGGACCTTCGCATGCAACAATGTCCTAGGGACGGGGTTTAGCGAAAGTGTACCTTTCGCATAAAAAGACATCCTCACCCACCCCAGCCATAAACCCCCACAACACACTAAAGCCAGTCACTGCGTCGCACGACGGTCGCTCCCTGTGAGCGTTAGACGACGGACGTCGTCTGCTGACTGTCGGTGGCAGTCTAAACGGATCGAATCAAATCGCGTCGGCCGACGACCGTCTTGCACAGTGAGTGCCCGGCTTAAGAAAGAAATATAAATAGTTATAAACTATTTACATTTATCATAATATTTACATGTTAGATATCTAATGAACGCACAGACTATAGTAGAATATTAAACGTGTTTAATATTTCTCACGACGGCTTAAGACTGTCCCCGACGATAAATCGGGTCGGGCTGCGTCGGCCGACGCTGTCTGAGTTGGCCTTTAGACGACGGACGTCGTCTGCTGACTGTCGGTGGCAGTATAAACGGATCGAATCAAATCGCGTCGGCCGACGACCGTCTTGCACAGTGAGTGCCCGGCTTAAGAAAGAAATATAAATAGTTATAAACTATTTACATTTATCATAATATTTACATGTTAGATATCTAATGAACGCACAGACTACCGATACAGTATTTACAAATTGTTCGCTATGATGTGAAAATAATACAAATAATTATAATATACAAAGTAGGCCGGGAATTTGAAGTCTTAAGTAGGCTTTTCAGAGGAATGAACTGACGTCATGCTTAGTTCTCACACTTTTCAATACTGCTAAACATGAATATCTGCTGACCTCTCTTTCCTTGATGAAAACAGCCAGATAAAGTACCGTAACTGATCTGCGTTTGATTGGCTGAAAGTGTCATTCGCGGACCAATCATGTTACTCTATGTCGGAGTATATATCTGTATCTTCTTTTGGTTTATGAAATGTGCACCAATCTTGAAGTTTGCTTCCCGGCTTGTTGAAAATGTAGCTCAATGATGTGTTCTTATACGGGCAATCTGATTGGTTGCTTAGTAAAGTGGTTCCCATTAGTTTTTTACTGCGATTGAATCGATACCATTTTCTGACAGCTACGACAATATTTAAATTCTGTGAAAATTATGAAAATAGTTTTTAATATGGGCCTAACATTTGTTGTTATTATTACTGTATTACCAACATTATTATTAATCTGTTCTTTAGTTATACAAAAATTAAGGAAGGCATCATCTTTTGTGATTCTGTGCCAATGATGTCAAAATACAGTACATCACTTAAATAAACAGTATCAAATATGTCCGGTCTACCAGGCCACAAAAATAGACAGTTGATGTTTTCTCCCGGTATGAAATTTACTGAATTAATTTACTAATCATTTAATATCATTTTCGGAAATTGCAATCGAACGTGCCTATTATCAATTGGCAGCGCGCCATACAAAAATCAAACAAACGACCGGCCTATTATTTCACATCGTAGAAAAATAATTATAAAATACCACATAATCTCATTCATATTCCATTTATTCAGGTATAAAATATTGTATGACGACAGCCAAACGCTGAAAAGCTCTCAACATATTACATTATTATTACAGTATACTCAAAATCCAATTGATAGGGGCGATTAATAATATAATTGCACATCGTACATGGCAATTAGAGTGCTAAGGCTAACGGATTAGTTCCATTTTAGGGAAACTTTTATCTTTCAAAGTTAAAAGCTATAGTCATGGCTGAGTACTTCGGAAAGGCTTAAAAAACGCAAGGTATGTACAAGAATTTTCCGACGAAGGGTAAGGGGAGAGGAAATTACAGTTAAAAAAAATAAATTGGCTCCGGTGATGAATCTTCCCGGTCAGGGTGCTTATAATATATTAATCCGCGGGAAAACAGAAACGGGTCAATCATTTTATTATGACCTGCTACAAATCAGTGGTTTTTTTTATTAAGGAAGATACAGGCCTATTGTCCTATTAAGCTTAGTGTTTAGATATTGTATTGTCATACGATAAAGGTTTGGTTGTTTATTTGTTTATAATGCCTTTCGGAAGAACACCTCCTCGGTTGATAGAATATGGTTTTTATTAGTTTTCATTAAAAATATAAACAATTTTAGTTAGTTAAAGTAATCATTGGGAGACGTGATTGTTAGGGAAGTGTGAAAAATTGGCCACTACTATTGCGGTTATATAGAAATCAACCATGCACATACTGGGTTCTTTTATCATGTTTTTAAGTTCCCGGATAGATCGGAATAGATAGGCTTAATGGAATGTCAACAAAACAAAATAATAATAGTAGGCCTATATTTATTGCGGAACTGACGCAAAATTATTGTTTGGCTAACAAGAATCTTGTCCCATATTTAGAAATATAGTTCTTGGTATGCCTCATAAAAAAAGGGGGAAAAAACAAAAACATTCTTTCAAGTGTATCATTAGAATTTCAGCTTGGCTTACCTTTGTCTTGTTTAGAGGAACGTTAAAAATCATAGTTTCACCAATGAAAGGCGAAGACGTGCCCTTTTTCACGGAAGTCTTTCCCTTTTCGAAAAACTCGTCACCATCGAACAGTTTGACGTCTATGTAGTATTCTGGAGAAAGAAAACATCAGTGTCAATGGACAGGATATTGCGCAATATAGTTTATGCAACAATCCGTAGATTTACTTAAAAAATCATTAAATTGATTATCAGAAGAGAATATGCAAACGAACCCTCTTGAAATGTAAAAGAGTAAAAAGAATGAAAGAGTTCATACAGTGACCACATAAAGTGAAAAAGATGGAGTGAAAGAAAGAGGTATTTTCCTCTATTTAGAGTGAATTTTATAACGGTTTACCTCTTTTAGGAGAAAAGGTGAAGCTGTAAGTGAAATTCACTATATTACATTAATAGAGAATACAGGAAAGATATTATACCTCTCCGTGAATTGATAGGGAAATTGTATCTCACGTTAACATTGTTAATTGGAGTATAGGAAATAACTTACCGTACTTAAATACTAATATTAAAAGTTTTTCAACAAAAACATAAAAAATTATTCCTTTTCGAAGTAGAAAACTCTGTAGGCCTAAATCATTGGAATTCAAATTGTTTCAATCTGGGTCTCACTGAATGAACTCATTTGATATTTTTGAATTAGTGTTTTCCAAATTCACCACAGAGATTAAACACATTAAAAGCGATTGGTTTTGTTAATTCAGAATATGCGATTGCTAAGATTAAAGAGCTTACGTACTTATAGGTTGGGTGTTGTCACATGGAAGGTTGCTTGCCTCGATAATGTACACCGTTAGTTTTTCTTGAGGCGGGACGTAACGTAGACAAAGAAGAACCTCGCCTGCTATATTCGACGGGTTTAGAATATGCATCTAGATTTTCAAAGAGAAGAAAATAGATTTTAGTACGTTAAATGGTTAATTCAATAGAACGCACAAATACTTCACACTGTAGTATATTAAATCTTCGCATTTCTTTGCAGAGTGCCTTTTGTCAGTAATTAATTTTGTTAACTTACCGGATGTTTTTTTTCAAGATATGTGTTTTTCTTCATCCATATCTTCACTTTACTCTCTGAATTCTTTGATATATCGGTCATCTGGAAAAAAAAAACATAAAAAAAACCGTATGTAGTTAAAATTTATTGTACATTTGCCATAGGTGTAAATAGTATCATATCATCATATCATATCATATAATAGCACCCTTTCCATGAGGAAAGTGGGTCTCATTTTTTGATAGCCTAGTTCCTATCATTGGTCTGTTTTCATTTTCTTGCCTTTGCAAACACCTAATTGGCCACGATTTAGAAAATATTAACTCTGTTAACTCTGATATAGCTTAACATTGATATTAAGTACTAGTAATAGTATTAAATACGGTATAGGCCTAAAGCTCAAGTGTAAGTCCTACAAAAATTATCATGTTGACCTAAGACAATAAAACTCCAATGCAGCAATCGTGATTTTCGAGCTGCATTTGTTTATCCTCATAACAATGTTAAAATTATGCAATTACAAAAAATACGTGAAATGATGGTACTCATATCAACTATTATCGGTAATTATTCACTCATTCATTTTAAAAAGTGCCTAAAATCGCAAATAAGCCTACTTGGCCAAATCAGAGCATCTACTTACAAGTATATTTATTTATATTTAGGCGAAACAACTTACCTTATTTATGTCGGGACGCATAACAACAAAGTATACAAAGCTACTATAGGCCGACAAACTTTGACTAGGGCCGTACTAAAAGCTCAACTACAATGACACGTCTGAACAGAGAATTGTATATTCACTTTACTTGGCTCAGTGAATATAGGAACTCAGTATATTATACTCTTGATTTACCACCGGGTCACTGAAATGCTTCGAATGGTAGTCGAAGTTAAATTGCTAGTTAATCCGTTGTTATTTTGTCCATAACAATAGGCCTACTCATGAATATTTGTTACAGGCGTAGAGTTGGATTGGGATCTTGGCTTGCAACCAAATCCCGGTTATGCGTGGGAGAAAAATGGATTGACGTCATCATCTATATTATAGAAAAAACGGTCGATAGTATTTTTAAAGAAACTACAGGTAATTAACTTTTAATACGAAAACGGAAATCCTCCTACTGGATTCGAAGCCAGGTCGAGCCCTGCTGCTCTGGGGCCAATGCCAGGGGGATGCAGACGGTGCACGCGATCGCACCTCCTAAATTGTATTCAGAAAATAATTGTTGTATTGTATTCTTGATATGAACATAGTACCGGTAAGACATGGTATGCGAGAAAATTGTGCCCCCCCCCCCCCCTTTCTCTCCCAATTATAATTATAATATTTTGAAATAAATTGATATTGGTTGTATAGACTTTAAGTATAACCGTACCGTACGTCCACATCATGCACTGTCTAAATAACATTTAAACCCGAATAACTATTATTATTCTAGCTCTCATAGGCCTATGTTCTTTCTTACCAGGGGTGGTGCCAGGATTTGCCCGAGTGGGGTCCGAGGTCCGGGGGGCGACCCCTGTTTCTTACTATTGAAACTGCATTACGAACTTTGTATACAACTTTACCATTACCCTAATTTGTAAGGCTGTTGTATTTATCACATACAGCTTAGTATTCTTATTCTCTAAATTTATCTTATAGAGAGTCTTGTAAGTTGTTGAATTTTTAACATTGTTTAAACTCGCAACTGAATTTTGTGTGCTTTTGCATCAGCAAATAAGTTAATAACATGATCAAAGTTAGCAATGTTGTCTGCTTCATTACATTCAAGCCAAAGCAGATAGTCTCGCTTTTCCCATCATGACTCTGAGATATGGCAGGATGAGCTTTAGTCATGTAATCATTAAAGAATAGGATAAAAAACAAGAGAAAACGGTCGAAATTGACTGAAAAGAAATCACAATCTATAAATTTGCCAATAAAAACAACTACATTCAGATTCTTATTATTAACTGAGTAAACTTAAAAAAATGCATTTTATTAGCAGAATCAATCAAACATAAGTAGTAAAAAACATGATATTCATTATACGCAATATCTTAAATTAAGCGTAAAAATAAATATTGGAAAACTGCATACAACACAAAACATAGACTTATAGGCCTACATGATTGAAACTGTGCGTCTCAGCCAGCTAAGGGGCGTGGAGGTTTCCCAAGCTTCGTGTAGCGTTAGTAGCATAAACACAAACTTATTGAAAGAAATCCCGCAATGAATCCTTGTCTTTCAACCAAGCTTTTTTTTTTTTTTTTTGTTACATAATATCAGCTAGAATCAATTCACATAACTGGTTATCATTGACATTTAGGCTATGCTTTTGTATGGACAAACAACTATTTTTTGTTCTACTCTTACTTCTAAAGTACCTCAAGGATATAGCAGACAAAAACCTTTTGTAAATTATTGTCCCTGTCTACTTGTTCTATGCAGCTCCCTGCAAGTATCCATAATACCAAAATACATAATGAATAATACACACAATAGTAGATATAAATGCCACAACATTCTACCAGGTACGGTACCCATTTATAATTACTGTATAATCCTGGATGAAAAGATACAACCTTAGGTAAAGTACAGTACCTTGCCAAATAACACAAGTCATCACAGCAAACGTTGGAAGGGTTCAAGCTCCGAGGACTAATCATTTTCTTGTTTGTATTTTCTTTCCTTCCAGGCACCCATTTATACTTCTAGATAGAGATTATAAAGTCCTAATTTTCCAACTAGGTTCATGTACAGAGTAGGCCTAAGGCATCTAAGTGGCACATCTATGAGTCTTAAATTAGGGGGAGGGAGGTGGGGGACCGCGAAGATGAAGTTTTTTTTGGGGGGGGGATGATTGAGGGTCGCAAGATCGTAAAATAAGGTGATATGAGGTGATTTTTTGCTTTGAAAATTTTCATTGGGAGAAAGCTGGAGGCAGAACGAGTTTTTAGGCAAGGAGGTGGGGCGGGCGCTTCCCCTAGATACGCCACTAAGGCGTCTGACTAGATTGAAAATACACGTTATCTATACATAAGTTTCAATCAAAATTTAACAGACCAGGGCGGTGTAGATTTGATTTCATTTTAAAGCCTTCCTGCCTGCTGCCCTCAACCGAATGTTACCACTTTTTTCAGCATACACCATCTGTAGCTAGCTGAATTCAGTGGCGAAACGCTTATTCGCTCTCATGCGGCGATCTGCAGGGCCATCACCGACCCTTTTAGGGGCCCAGGTCCCCCTAAACATATGGTCCCGAATCCGAACATCCTGATCCAATACTGAGGTGGACATACACCCTCCATCTGTGAGCTTCTCCCTGTCCCCTTATTTCAAATTTGATCCACCACTGATGTAATCATTGTTCGTCGTTAAAACATTTAGAATATAATGACAAAAAATGATTAAAACACGAACCTATCTACTAAAAATGAAATTGGCGACACGGACCCCGGGGCCACCAATGTCAGACGCCAAAGGGCCCAGCATTGCACAACTGTCTGAATTTAATTAGTACTGTATTTGAGTGTGATAGCTAGATTTTGACTCAACATAATTAATATTTATAGGCAGCTATCCATATAACAAGTACATTTTGTGTCTTCGGCAGTCGAACAGAAAAGAAAAAAAAAGTTTTTTTCATCCCAGGCATTTCCGGCCATCTACTAGTCTAGAAGTCCCAATTTTTTAAAAACAAATCTCGTTTTGGGAGGAGGGGACATCCCCCTCCCATACCGACGCCCAGCTCGGGCCTTCGGCTATAGTTACCCCCATAAATACTTAAGCCCTCAGTCGGACATCTTAGCGCGTCCCCACCCCCCTTCCATAAATTATATCCTAGAGCCGCCACTGAGAACTACAAATAATATCAAGCAGATTCACATATTTTCTGAAGACTATATGGCTTGACGCCTTTATTCAGTACACGCTATATACAACACCGACATTTCACAAATAGAATACTGACACGGAACACCAGACCTTGTTAGTCCAGACGGTTTGCAACCGGCAACCACAACCTACAATATTGCAGCGTCCTTACAATACAGTGTACATCCTAGCTATTTTGTGTACATGTACTAAGCCTGCATTATTGCATGGTCATTATCTAGCTATCTCATGTATAATGGCAGAATGATATGTTATTATACCAAGATATGTTTAATTTTTAAAATTATGTGACTCGCACATGCCTCATAGAAGCTTTTAGATAAGTTGTTATTTTGTGTCGCATTATCGTCTGGACTAGGACCATCGGCTTTTTCTATATTAACTCGCTGAGTTAAAGTTCCGTGTCATGAAAATAAGCATAGCCTGAATACATTCCATTACCAAAAATTTACCAATAATTTTAGGTTAGAATATTGTCATTTTTTAGGTTAAATTCAAAGATTTTTAGGTCATAATGAAGCATAAGATTTCGGAAAGAAACCCCTAGGATTTTTTTTTGTTTGTTTTTAGCTTGCCTAAAATTTCAACGAAATAACTGGCAGCGAAAATAATTAAAACATATTTTGAGTGGATCATCAGAACAGATAATAAATACTTCACCAGAATACCACTTGAAGGGATAACAACACTGACTAACTTACAACGGAGGATGAGTTTGGCGTACGCCTATATAATATATATACACATACACACAGAAGCAATATCTACATATTCTAAAAGTATTACAGTTCCAATTATTAACATTTATCATACGCTATCACTTATCCATAACTGATCGATATACTGCATATTATCATATCTACAACACAAATAAACATAAATATATATCATTATTTCTTTCGCATCAAAATTGTATTAATGTGGATGCTTGATTCAATAATACACACAAAAAAAAATATCATCTATTGTTACCCAGAAACTAAGATCCTGAAGTAATTAAAAACATATATATGAACTTAAAATGTTTATAATGTAACATTTCATTCATTAAAATTAAGTACAACGGGATTTAAATATTGGCTCGTTTACAACCACATGACAAGTTGTAGGTTAATTTATAGGTTAAATTATCTCAAATATTGAATAATCGATTTATAGTTTGTAATTAATTATTATCTTGATAAAATGAGATCAAATTAAGAATCAAGAATCCACACATCTAAACAAAAACATAACGCGGCGGTCAGGCTTACACATGCAATTTCACTAAACATTGTTTTTGTTTTGGTATTACGTGATCTAAAATGTTGGCGATATATTTTACTCCATTACATCTACCATTCTTTGCAACATAAGTAATGTATTACTGTACATCAAATGTTAAGATACAGCAATAGAAACGAAGAGGTAGGAGCTATCTGACTCAAGCAAGAGCACTGGTGCTGGTAGTGTTATCAACAGAAAGCCTGGATGCTATTCAACTAGTTTTTTTTATCTTATGCCAGCGAAACAATTAGAGGCTGCACTACTCAGCAAGTTTTTTGGTTTTTTAGCCCAGGGTACATTTCCCAACACCATTACTAGAGACAGAAGAAATCCATTCACTGATAAAAGATTTTTAAAAAGGAATGATTAAAATACAAGAAACAACATTTCTGATTGCAAATAATGCTGTCTCTCATTTGTGCTTTGTAAGTGGAATGCTATTAATGACATCAATAAATAATGAAGGTATCAGCATTTTTTAAACAAAGCTTTACTAAAATTTGCACAGTTCATATTTTCTAACATCTTTTCATAAAGAAGTGAAAATACACTGGAAAGCCCATTAAAACTCTTAAATATATTGCTTTTTTAGATATCAAGTAATCTATAAATATTTTATTAATATTAAATATCCGTCTAATTTTCATAATTATGTTTTCCCACAACTTTTTTTTTATATATCTTTTGCACTTTAAACATAAGTGAATAGTTTACCCTGAAATTTGTAGGAATGACTTGGTTAAAAAATTGCATGAATAAAACATGGAATGATAAAATCAATAAAAGGTGATGATAAAATGCACAAAAATACTTCTCCTAAAATAGAGGGTGCAATTTAGTTACAGCATTTTCAGAAGGCATCTTTTGAGCTTTTTTAGCTTAAATCCAATGCAAATAATTGCACACTGTAACCACTGTACTTTAACATAATGTTGCACAGCTAAGTAATCCCAATCTATGCTGTAATAAAATCCTTGTTATAACCAAATCATATCTTGGGGCACGCATATTATAATTTGTTACATCTTCATAAATATACCGCAAGTTTCAAAATAGTTTAGGGTATGAGCTTTTGTTTTACAACCAATGAAAGAGCAAAATATTGTAGTGGAATAGATGACGCTGGGGGAAAATTAAACAGACGAAAGAGTTATGCTGCAAACATGCTATGAAAACAAACCCATACAGAACATTTAAACACTAGATAATGTAATACCATGAAATGATAACTTTTGGGAATTTTACTTTAACATCCATTATTACTAATATTTTTTTTGATTATTTTATTTTTTTAGGACAAATATTCAAGTAGGCAAGAAAAGAGGACAAACCTTGGATTTTCCCAGATATATAGTGTTAAGATTTGATTATTTTCAAGGCTCTAGAGTAAACCAGTCCAAATTCAGGATTTTTAATTGCTTAATTTGATAATGAAGAATGAACACACATAGTGTGAATGAATAATTTAAATTTTTAAATGAAAGAAGTGAATATTTTAAATGTCCAGGTATTTCACATAAGATGAACAATAAATAAATATAGTAATAATAATAAATATTCAATAATAATAACAATATATGATAATATAGACATTAAACCTTAAAGATATAAGATGGGAAATCCAACAGAAAAATAAAAGAACATAATAAGTAACATCTCTTGGGTTGCACACAAGTTTCAAGCAGCATAGCTGTAGCAGATTGGATAGCAATGGTAGGGCTAGGTATCTACCAAATCTTAATGTTCATACGGCCAATGGCCACAGAAAACCACTTGCCTGAACCTAATGATATAAACATGTCTTACAATGTGATTTCAATTTAACCGGATAGTTATGCTGCCCCCACAGGTAACTTTCATGAGAATTGCTCATCAATCGACAACTCATAATTGGAAATTTCCAAACTACTTTATTTTTCTATCTGATATTTTCATCCAGAAATTCACCCACAGGAATTGGCAACAACCGGCCAACTTTTGATTGCCCAAATGACAGCCCATTATTTTCGGGCAAGTGGCAAGTGGACAATTTTTAACATTGTAACGATACACAAAACACGAGTATGGTACTCGACTGAATGCTTTGATTTTATAGAGAAGATTAAGAGGATACTAGTTGTAACCAGTTTAAACTAGTTTAAGAAATTCCTGCCTATTTATTTCTCCTCGACGTCCATCAGGGTATGCCACTGAGCGATGGGCCTCCTGGGAGACGCCAACATATCGCTCCAATGACGAAGCCCTGCCCCTGATGCTTGACAACCTAGCTGCACCTTGCCAATAGGATCACTTCCACCCATACGGTCCCAGTCCAAGACTGTAATAGTCAGAGATACTTTCTGTGGAGGTAAAAAAAAGAAAAAAATATTGAAGACAAAGATAACTAAACTTGTATTCTCTGGAAATGCTGCTAAACGGAATGCATAAATATTACATAACATTACATCATTGTTTGCATTGTACCAAGTATCTGTTTGATGATTCACTCTTTTCATTCCACTTGGTAAACTGTAGGCTGTTAAATTTACTCTTTGTTCCAATTGGAAATCTGTTAGTTGTCAGATTCACCATTTTCATTTCAATTGGTAAACTGTTAGATGTTAGATTTACTCTTTGATCCAATTGGAAATCTGTTAGTTGTTAGGTTTACCCTTTCCCTTCCAAATGGTAAACTGTTACTTATTATATTTATTCTTTTCAGTCCAGTGTTAGTGTTAGTGTTGGTGTTAGTTATTACCTGTATCTGTTCAAAAGGAACTTCGAAGGCAAATGACTCGTTGTAGTAGGGATTCAGCGTCCTCTTTTTTATGGTTGTCTTCTTCTTTTTCAGTCGTTTGTTACCGAGATACAATGAGATCTTCACGTATGGATCTATGATACAAAAATTGAAGCATTAAAATTATGAACATTAAAGAAGAAATTCAAATAACAAATTATGAAAATTAAAATATTAAATTATATTGTTTGTATTTATTTGCTCAACAGACTTTATATTTTTAATGGAATCATGGTGAAAAAATAATTGTGTTTCTTCCACCGGCAGGTTTAAAATTGACTGAAATGTTGATTCCTCATCTTCATCATGTGCAGACTGAATCTGATGAAACTAGCATAGAATGCTGCTGAAATCTTGTGTAACAAATAATTACAATGCATGTGGGCAAAATGTAGCTCACAGTTTGCATATATGGTCCGATGGGAATTTTGATGGGGCCCACAACAATCCGATGTGTGTGGCCATCTACCATCTTTTCCTGAAAAATCTATTGTTTTTATGGTCTAACACTGAAAATCTGTAAAAAGTAATAATAAAACTGAGGATAATAGCTGTATAAAGGCAGTGCATGAAGGCTTTTTTTCTGGAAATGCCAAAGTTTTGGTGCCCTCAGTATTTAAAAATTCCTTTTAGCCTCCGACCATTTTTTAGTCCCATCCAAGATTTTAAAGTTCATTAACAAACTACTACTACTAAGTAGTTTACCTATTGTGTTATTTAAATATCTGGTTTATTGTAAGTCATATTAAAGTATAGTATTCTTGATGGGTGCAAACTATACCTGAGTATCCAGACAAGTCCATCTTCTTTAGGTTCTTGGCCTCCAGAATCACAACCGTCAATTTGCCAGCAGTCGGCACGTAGCGCAGTGAGAAGCAGATATCTCCATTTTCTGATTTTCCCTGCAAATAAATTCAGTTACTCATTCATTACTCAAATCTAAAAGCATTCATTCAAATAAAATAACATAACTAAAGAATTGTAAAAACATGATGATGATGAAAATGATGATGGCAATGATGATAGTGATGATAATGATAAAGATTAATGATTATAATTAATTATTTATGATGGTGATGATGATAAGTGCTGTAATATTACTATGGTGATTAGTTCTGTATCTTAAGTAACCATGTGACCATGATGATGATATCATATTGAAAATAAAGTAGAAGATGATGATAATAATAATGATGATGCTGACACTTATCATTTATGATATGATAAGAATAAAAGAACAATTTACTAAAGCATAACTCACTAACGAAGTATACTGAGAAAGGGAAGTGGAAAGCCTGGCTATATTAAATCAGTTGAACATTAGAGAGATTGACATTCACGTACCAGACGCAATCAGAGAGTGATCGCAAAGTCATACATGCTTGATGACGATGATAATGATAATAAAATTTAAACTAGTGATTTGGAAATTTCCCAGGGTGAAATGATTATATTTTAATAAACTTTAAAAGTATAGCACAATGCAAAGTAACCCCAAAAAACAAACTCAGAATATTCAGTAACAGGAAATTGAATTTGGTGCGTGTACCGTCAGTGCGTGTTAATTTGTTCCGGTCTCCGTAAGGCCTAACTCTCTAAGTCAAGTTGCTATTGTAATATAGCTCAAATAAAATTCAACTTTGCTTTAGTCGAATTTATCCAAGTCGAACCATATTTCAATAGCACTTTAGATTCGACTTAGGCAAGTTTGACTGTAGTCCACGCTTTGAGTGCTTTTATGAAATCTTTGTGAAATAGTACTATTTAAAATGCTGCAATGTATGTAAAGAAACCCTTGTGCTTTACATTGAACCATGTGCATAGTGTATATACAGTATTACATATAATAATTTTAATCAAAAATTAAAATTTTAATTAAAAAATACATGAACCATGTTAATTAATGTAGTATGCTATTTACACCCGAAGTGTACATAAACCCCTTACTATCATTTAAGTTCTGCATATTTTCTATTTGCAATATTTTACCTCTATTTTTCCACCATATAGGATAACTTTGAAGTAAAATAAGATTGACAATGACTTGAAAGAAGAGCAACACATATTCACCAGAATCATTTATGAATAATTTGTTTTGCTGTTACTATCAGTTTTGGTACAACAATATCATCAATTAATTGGATATTTATAGGGTACACAAAGGGAGACACTCACTGCAGTTGCACTATTGTCTAATAATTATGATAATAATAATGTTCACTTACCGCTCCTTCCACCTCAGCGCTTGCTAAATCTCTCCATTCCTCGATCACACTTCCCAAATCAATAGAGCCCAGTTTAATGCGTACCTCACCAATAATGTCATGGCGAGAAAAGCGATCAAAGTCGTACACGGCCATAACCAATGTCTTGCTGGATATATCGCTGTATGGAACCTATATAATAATGACGTTAAATCAATATTTATTGTCCAGAATTATTAAACACACTATAGCAGTGCAGTACATAAATCTAGACAATGATAGTAACAATTTTAAAAAAGCACAATAAAAATATTTCTATGCATAATATAAGCAGTATAAGCCTTAAGCAATTGCATTGTCAAAACAGGAGAATAGTACTATATGGCTTGTGATTATTTTTTCCATATTTCTGATCTAATATTACCTGCTAGTGACATGGAAATGTAATTTAGATGTAAAAATGCTAAAAAGAAGGCCTTCTACTATACAATGTGTAAATTTTTATCTCAACTAATAAATGCATTGGAAAATATTAATGATTACAATATGCTTCCATCTAAAATACACCTTGTCACAACGATGTCTTCCAAGACATACATCTTAATACAGTACACGGTTAGGGTGTGGGCATAAAACCCACAGGTGGGTATTATGTATGGTATACACATAACATATGCATTTTTGTGTAAGGAATAGAGCAGTATTTCATTAATAAATAAACATGTTTCATTATTTAATAATAATGAGTTTATTATAGAAGGTCAATACTGAATGAATGAGGAAATTAATAAAACAATACGTAAAGCTTTGTCCAAATTATCAAATTTCCTTCATGACAAAAATCTATAGTATGCCCATATATTATAGTCAGCATATGCCTATATATGGTCATGATGTGATGTCATCAACACCATATTTAGGCATGTCACATGTTTTTGTCACAAAAAAATTGAGTCTGGACAGGTCTTTAACTAAAAGATAAAATTGATATAATTTCCAGCAAACACACTGACAAAAATACTTGACAAAAATTGTTTCTTTAGCCTGGTTTCCGTAAAATCGCTGCAGTGTTTTCAGTGCAATCGTACTGCGTATCAGTCCCCGACGCAATCAGGAAGGATCTTCGATTCAACCGATCAATCAGCATCTCCAAAAGCTGTTGGCAATAGCGTGTAGCGATTGTATGGAAACCAAGCTTGACAATAATAACAAAATAAATAGGTTAGATGGCTCTCTCACCTTGAATGTGAAACTCTCATTAAAAACAGGGTTGAGTGTTTTGCGATGAACTTTTGTCTCATACTTTTTCTTTTTGTCAGGGTGCAGCATTACTTTTACATAAGGGTCAGACGTTCCGGACATGTCCATACCAATAAGGTCAGCACATTGAATAATGCCGACCGACAGCTATGAAAAAAATAAATACATACATTTTAAACATTTTACAATAGCTACTCATTTCATAATTATTCTGTAACATTTTCTGGCAAAAATATATGTATTAATTGAAATTAATTTTTTTTTTTGAACTATGAATTACTGTAAGTTGAATACATTTTTATTGTCAAATTAAATGAGTAATTTCAAGTTATAATTAAATTTTTAGAAAATTGTTTGGGTGGCAGTTCCTAATGCTTCTGTGCAATGCTCTATTATTATCTATTGCTATGCGTGGGCATTATACAAAGCATATGCCCCGAGTCATTTAATTATGAATTACATTTAATATTTAAATACAGTCATATAATTCCACACCATTCAATAGTTACTAATATTATATAATAGTGTGCAACATATATTATTATGTTTGTATTTATTCAGTCTACATAGAACTTATTTTTAACTTTATACAATATAATTCAATAAGGTATAAAAATAGCATTAACATTTTTAATGTCATATTAATATAATTCAAAATATTCAAAAAATCATATTTTATGTTTTACTATTTAATAAACAAAATTTTAACATTATATTATTCTATCTAAAAACTAGTATGATAATTACATACAATTCTATACTTATCATAATTCTAAACTATTCAAATAAACCATCAACAGCCGTGTAGCTTGTCATTAAAACATTTCCTATCATAAATCTCCTTGAGCTCACGTGTGATGAGCTGATGTAGCTATCTAGTGTGGCTTTAGCGTTCCCTTCCAATATCTGAAGGCCTTTTCCCAGGACTCTTCTAGTTTGCAAAGAAACTGCCAAAAAAGCCATCTGGTAACTTACTGTATCTAATATTGCACATCATCGTGTTGGGATTCAATATTTCGACATTAATAATGTCATCATCATTCCTGATAATGACATAATTAATGTCGAAAAATATTTCGACATTAATTATGTCATCATTATTCCTGATGATGACATAATTGATGTCGAAATATTGAATCCCAACACGATGGCGTGCATTTCAATACTTGGAGTATGTATTATACTTTCGTATCTAATATTGTTTTACAATGACATACATCTACCTATAACAGTGTAGGATTAGTGTCTGTTGGTGTCACAAAATCTAACCCTTCCTGTTATGTCTTATAGGAAATGTTTTCAATCCCACCCCCACAAAAAAAGAAAAACAAAAAAAAAAAACATTTAGAGTTCTTTCCATTTTTTTACAAGGTTCTTTACGGATTCAAAACTTTTTTAGTTCTTTGTTTATGGAACGCTATATAATATTTATTTACAATTTTAAATACACACACACACTGACAATAATAATAATGAAATATATTAAACATAGATTAATGGATAATATTTTAATAAATATAAAAATATCCAGATTACTTTTCACCAATATGTTATAAAAAATAAACCCATACAAAACATTACTATTGTCCAATACAATCATCAACAATGAACAACAAACGGATTAGTCATTGCTTTTACTTCAAATGTCAAGCTCTTAAATAATAACTATGCCATAATCTGATTAATGGTGTAAGCTCACATTATACAGACCTACAGTCAACTAGTGCAAGAGGACTCTCAGTACAGGCAGAAGCCTCCACATCTCTATTCTAAATGTCAGACACCAATTTTTATTATAATATCATTTTAATATTTGTCCCCAGTGTGTTAAAAAAACTCCTGCTGAAAATTTTAAAGGGAGTTTGGACTGAAAGTTTTCACATTGTTAACTTTCATGACATTAACAATTTTGGCAATATGGCTTTGTTGTTTTTACTTTCTTACAGATTCTTTCAGAGTCTTTTTTTAGAATGGGGGACACCATGTTAAATTTTTTGTTATTTTTCACTTTTTGAACATTTTGAAGAAAACCATGTTGTCAAACTAAGAATACTTTATTAATAATGACTCTTATTAATGAGGTAATAAAAAGGTTAAAAAGATTTTGCATAGTTCTGAAATTCACTGTGCATCAGTTAATTCATGAAGTCTATGTCATATTCTGTAACTACGGTACCGAGCATAAATCAGCTGGCCCAACGTTTTCTTTTGCTTCAGAGGAATGTTCGCACTTTCTAAGGTCTTTATTGGATATACGAGGAAGAAGAGTGTGAAATTGCCAATTTAATTTAACTACCTCATCATTCAGTATGCTATAATTTTACCCAAAACATCACCTTTGAGCAATGACTGATTAGGAATTACTGTATTCCTTTTGCACTGATGATATTCTAGTAAATTGCTCATAAATTCAATACATAGTGAGGGGCTACATAATAAATAATAGACATTAAATTAATTTAAATTAACTAATTAAACATTCAATTTAATAATTACACATTTATCCTGTTTACATTATAGAACTCTTGTTTTATAATAATGAGCCTCTTATTTATAACAAATTCTCCTAAAAGCTAAATTATAAACAATTTTGATGCATGTATACTCTGCACTAAGGTTATGCTCAGTTATGAAGGATGAGGAGAATGATGATAAAGGATGATGATTAAAAGGATTTTGATGACTATGAATGTGATGATATTGGTGATTATGAATGTGATGAAGATGATGATACTATATGATAATGATGATGATAAAGATGATACCAACAATGATGGTGACGTGACGATAATTATGATGATAATTATTTGCATACTGTACAATTAGAAGTTGATAACTTATTTAACAATTTATTATTTTTATATAATGTTAGGTTTTTTTTCCAGAATTAAAACAATGTATAAATCCACATAAGAAATATTGAGGCAAGAAGATAGTTAAGATTGTTTAATGGTTTGCATGGCGAAGTAACAATATATTAAATACTTGCGATACACCACATAGATAGTTCTGAAATATATTAACAGATATTATTCTCCTGATGACGATTAAACCAACTAAATCGAAACGCCAAGACATTCTCAACAAAACAACAGTTCTTTTCAGAAATATCTACGTGGTGTACTGCAAGCATTTAATATATAATTGAAATTATTATTAAGGTAAATGTAAGGTTTTGAAATCATAAAGAGCTTTATATATCTATATATTTGTACATGTTTATGTTTGTGTTCTCTCCACCTGATAAATATGTTGGTTTTGTTAATGCATAGTTATCTGAAATACGTAAGTACATGCAACGTTAAATTAGAGGATGCAATAATAGAGACGTGCCCAACAGCATTGTTGGAACTCAAAACAATCACAGAAAAAAGCTATGTTTAACATTATACACAAACACTTTGATAAAATCCACCATAAATGGCATTTTTAAAAGGTCTACGGAACTATTTATAGACTCTTAATAGGAAACATGTATAATGGAGACCAGCATATGGAGAGGTGATGTCATTCCAAATGTAACATGAATCCATTGTTAAAATACTTAAATAAAAAAGTTGGTATCAAAAGGCTTGTGTTACAGTATCTCTCGTTTTGTCGAAAATACCCTTGACCAAAGGATTATGAGCTTATCTGGTTTGTTATTTACTAATGTTAACTGTACATTTCTTATACATACATTCATTTTTTTTTTTATATTTGTTATTATATATTGCCAAATAACAATAATAGATATTTGAGAGGATCAAATAAAGGGACTAGGCATTACCTGAAAGTGACAAATCTTTGTAAATATATATTCTATCATACATAGAAACATAACAGACGTAATTAATAGTTTACTGGTTAATACGGGTAAGTATATTTCATTTTATAGAAATACCAGAAATATTATTAACACCATACTGTTGCTATTATAATCAGCAAAAATTATTGCATTTTTTTGAAATTTATCACAAATAAGTTATATAAATATAATATTTTTGTTATTAACAATTAAATTTCATTAATGATCATCTATCAAAACGGTACAACTGAAACTGTTTAAAAGTTAAGTTTAAAGTTACTATTATGAACTTTCGTAAATGTCAATATAATTTCAACAATTCGGCCATACTGTGTTGATGCTGGTAAAATAAGTCCATGTTTGGGGAGAATTAAAGTTTATATTTGGGGCATAAAGACATTAACATTTTATAGTGTTCATGTTCGAGTCCAATTAAGGTTTATAGTAGTCGGGCCGATTAGGTTTATAGTTTAATGACATGTATACTTTATAGCATTCATGTTCTCAAATTAAGGTTTATTAGTATTTATGTGGCGTATTGAGGTTTATAGTGTAATAATATTAATATTTTATGCCAATAAGGTACTCATGTTCAGGGCCTATTGATGTTGAAGTTAATAGTATGCTTATTCATGTTTGGGATTGTGGTTTATTGTAATCATAGGCGGTGTACCCGGTAAGCACTACGCAAGATCAGCGAGCAACCTGAGCTGGGAATTTGCATTCTGGATCAGTGTTCAGGCTTAACTGGCATGACGATTTGCATGGAAACATAAATTAATAAAAAACTTAGATCAAAATTAATGTTTATTTTGCAAAGCTTACAGTCAAAATTGGCAATCAAGCTTATTTTTTCACAAATTTTTGGTGGGACCTGGTTTTTCTCCTAAAATTGGGTGGCCACTCTGTGCAGCCACCAAAAGTGATTGTAATCAAGGGTATACTAATTACCTTTCCTTCTTGGAAGTCATAATCTAGTGAATATTGCAGTTTGCCCAATTTAACCTCCGACTTAACGGAGTCTGTGTCTCCTTCTCCTTCCTCCATTCCAGTATCAAGTTCGTCGACATCGGGCTGGATCTGGAAACGAAAGATAAGGACAGAGCATATGAGAAAAAATGTAGTACGCAACAGAAACAAGTAAATTAAAGAGGCTATTTAGCACATGTAACAGTAGGGAAAAATCAGCATTCTAGTCAATAAGCAAATTATCGAGATGTACTGCTTAATGGAATATCAAAACGCTGTTTGCATTTTCAACAGTCGCATAGGGATGAATGTAGAAATATCTCAACATGTGGAATGACAACATAAAATTACTTTAAATATCAAAAAATAAATTTAATGAATTGCTACAAAGAAAACACCACACAGTCATTAAATTCCATATGTAGCAATTTATCTATAAGTTACTACATATTGATTTAATACTATACAAAAAAAAAATAATAGCAAGTATTATCATTTCAGAATGTGAAACTAAACTATTAATTTAAATCCAATGGGAATTGATTAGTTTTTCTAATTAGGATGCAACGATTTCAGTGGGACACAATTTACTCTCCCAAAGGCCAAAGAAAAGTGGGGCTAACTCATAAAAATTGTTTTGTCTGTTTAGTGAAACATGCTGTTCAACCGTAATATTTTAGTCAAAGAATACTATGTATTGTGTAATATTAAAACATTTATGTATAACAAAAACAGAACTATTGAATGTTAAAAAAAGCTTACAGTATAAAAATATTAAAAACAGATACAACAAAGTATTATAAAATATTATTTGAAAATATAAGCAAGACTAATATCATAAAGATTATTATATATGGTACTTGTATACAAATGTGAGATTATGTAATTAGTACAATGTAGAGAATGTAAATGTGGACATTCCATACACTACTGTATGAACCAATATCTGCATTGATTATGTACATGTACCTGAATTTATGTAGAGTATGGTACATATATGATTATAAGTATACACACTTAAAATATTAAACTCTTTATATAGACATGCAATTCCACAATGATTTATAAGAATAAAAGTTGTTTCTTAAGACAAATATATAACAGGTTTTAGTATATTTAATATTATTACAAAAACTGACAATATATCCAAAGCTTTAAGTCATTAGAAGAATTTACATTTTTCTCATTCTTATTTTGTATTGATAAATATTCAACAGAAATAACTAGGTTAGTAAGAATATGTTACATTTTGTACTCTCTATATAGTATGTTTAACACACACAATTTTATTACTGCCATTATGAGATACACCATACAATATAACTGTTAAAATAGATTAAAAGTAGAAATGTAGAAACATGCTTTTTAGTAACTTCCCGAACTGTCTATATAATATTATTTTAAAAGACAAAGAACGGAAATAAAAATCAAAAATTAGAATTTTTTAAAAATCAATTTAAAAACATCAACATATTTTTAATAATTTGTCTGCAACTGATAAAAAATATCTTCTGATACCTGAATTGGATCTGTGGATGAGATTAACTCAGTTGTCTCCTGATCTCTAAGACTAATATCTTCTGATCTCTGATAATCTTGGCCCTTTGATAATCCTAATCTCAATTTCAAGTATCTAATCCTTCTTAAAATCTAGCAATACAATATGTTTGTATATAATTTGTGTTTGTTTTGAATAAGATCAATTTAAAATTAAAGTCACGGTTACATATTAAAAATTGTCAAAAGCGGATAAACACAAACAGTCATAAATGATTGTGTTTGTATGTTCTGAATAACACCCACTTACCTATCTTCTAGTTCAAGAGAGTTTATTAATTATGATAGAGAGATAGATTTAACATACTATAACTTAAAGGTTTATTATTATCATATAGTATTTTTGGGCAATGTTTACATGGAATTGGAAGTATACCTATATTTTATATTTTACAGATAGTGGCATTGAGTATTTTCAAAGGTAGTTTTCAGTTATGTATGTAATGAGTTGGATTTATATAGTGCTTTATACCAAAGTCTCAAAGCGCTCAAGGTGTGGACTAGCTCGTACAATATTTTTACATGTCTTTGGTAATATAAGATTTTGTGCAATAATTTCAGAAGAATATTATGACAAAATAAATATACGTTGCATCTCATGATTTAACATGAATCTCAAAAATTTGTGGATTTGTTTACATTTACAGCACTCACGTAATGTAGAATAAATGTGAGGCTGTTTCAATTTCAGAAAAGACATCACAAGATACTGTAGTGGATGGATTAAAAGCATTTCATATTAAATCTAGCAGCAAAGGATGCTGATAACTAGAAGGTTATTCACCCTGCAAGAAGGTATCCTCAGCTTAAATTTTAAATGGTAACATAAGGAGCTTTTGATTAAAACCACTTGGAATTATCTATCTTCCAAATTCTACACTTAGAATTGATAGTACTCTACTTGTGTACAAAATTTATGGAGAAAAACACTTCATTTTTGTAAACAAAGATGTAAATATTGTAGTGACACAAGAATTTGGTTAATGTGGATATCTGTGCCTCAGTCCATTTTTAGCACAAAGGGGTTGTACATGTAAACAAGAATTCCTACTTGTCTTTCAAAAGGACATAAAGCAAACTAAAAACTATGTGAAGACTGAATTTATAGCTAAATAATAAAAAATATAATACATAATATAAAAAGGTTTATGAAAAGTTTGCTATTAAGTAACAGGATAGGTGGCATTAAAGACTATAATGGGAGGGGTAAAATAGGTACTAATAAAGTAAAAAATATTGGGAAGCGGGTATGTCTGCCATGACAATGTAAATAAACAAGTACGGTACAATATTGATGACAGAATTGACAGTCAAAACAGTAAGGTAAATTTAAGCATTATAAGGACATCACATGTAAGGGAAATAAGTATGTATTAAAAGAAACCAAGTTGGTTCAAGTTTAACCCTAGGACATTTTGGCAGGGCCCATTAGTGAAACATGGAATAGCAGTGAAACAGTAACCTTGTGGAAAAATATTGCATCCTTTCTCTCTGTTAAATAGTTTACACGTTTTTGAACATGTGCATGGGCCAATTTGTACACAGGATTAACGTCTTAAAATGTTTCTTATGAAAGGTTGTGCACTGTATTTCACAGGGTGACAGGAACTTCATAAGGAGATTAGGTTGATTTACTAATACTGTAGAACTAGGGTCATGGAGACCTTCATGTTTACCACAGTGGTTTTCGCATTGAGCACTACTGCAGTGCATATGTGATAATTATACTATTATCATCACATATATAAATATGCAACTCACTTTTGATGCTCGATACGGGTGGGGGTTATGTTTATACAACATAATAAATAACAAAAAAGCCATGTTAGGATGCAGATTTATATTGAGAAAGGAATAATTTATTCTTCAGTGTCAATTCTGGTTGTATTATCTCGTAAAATACTTTGCACAGATAGACTATATCAGAGAATAACCAATTGGGTATTAGTAGTATTTATGCCGTTTTGTTTTTTTTTTAAATTCATGTATCTACCTTGTTATGCCATATTATAGTATGTAGGACTATATGCTAGCGTTTACAATTACAGTACAAAGATGTCAACGCTTATATAGATGATTGGCAGACGACTAGCTTCACTTAAACTTGCATGGCACTTACAATAAAGCTGTATAGGTAAAGATGAATACCTTGAAGAACTTACAATGAACTTCAATTACGTGACATGGTTAGTAAATAGGATTTTCATCAAAATCTCTGTAGTTTATTTGATTATATAAATTAATGGAATTAATGGTTAGTATCACATTCAAATACACATTTACTTCTGCACACAACCGACTGACACATGCAAATACTTTACGAATATCTAGGGGACTACTGTATGGTAATTGACTAAATGCGATATGGATGAACAACCAGGGAATTAAATCCAAATTTATACTACTGTTTACTCCGTTTGAACTCACAGGTCAAAGTTGAAAGCAGCAGCGTCAGGTGAAATGATGTGTAACCATGCACGGACAAAGTAATAAAAAAATTCACACTGTTTAAGACATGCAATATAATATAACTGATAAAAATAATTCTTATATAGAATAGTATAAATAACCAAATATAAATAACAATTCAATGACAATATTACTGTAATAGTAGCAAAAATATTAATAATAATTTTTTTTTGCTTTAATAATTGTTTTAATAATTTAATACAAATAATAAAGTAACTTATAAAAAAACTAAAATAATAAAAAATATATAACATGATAAAAAAATAAAATAAACTGATATTAATTATAATAAAATAATGTTATTATTAATCTATATTTTCATTTCTATTAAGATAACATTAAATACATATCTAATCAAAATTATTAATTAAATCTATTTATAAACATGACAGATAATTCTAATTAAATCATGACACCATTAACTACGACGACAAAAACATCGTAACAAAACCATCATTCACACAAAAAAAAACCCTGTTTCTTTAACAAACTGCAAAAGAAAATAAGAAAAATTAACATATTGATGTACCATCAGCATGCACCTACTGGTACACATAACAAACTTGAATAATTACTGATATTTGTCAAAAGTTCGCAAAAACAAGGAAATGACAAAATATACAACACTTCACCTGGTTACACACTCAACAAACACATACACTGTACAAAAACAAATCAATGAAAAAAATGTTATAAACATCTAAAATGGAACATTAATATCTGATCATCAAAATTATGAAATATTAGAATATATGTTATCTATTTTAACAATTAATACTACTGTATATCATACAAATACTATACACTCACAAACATTCTTCTCCCTCACAAATTTCTCATAAAAACCACACACATCTTCATCATACACAAAAAAGACGCATCCCTTCTCCACGAACACATAGAAATTTGCACACACTTAGTATTATTAACTCAAAAAATTGGGGGGAAAGATGTTCAGTTCTGAGTGACAGCAAGGATCTGAAGATGTTAAAGGTCAAAGTGTCTAGGGCTGTGTCTGACTACGAGGCTTGTAACCAATTATAGTCATCCATGAAGAAACACAAGGAAGCAGAACCCACATACATACTGTACATGACTTGATCTATGTACTAATTTGCATATGATGTTGAGCAACAAACTCGCATAATGTACTTGACCTTTCTACCAATAGATGCATTTGTTTTCCAACTACACTTTCTTCATTCTATGATTAATGTTATTCAGAAAGAGATGACAAAACAAGTACAATTGCAGCAACATATAACAATTGAAATCTAGATAAAAAAAAAACTGAATAGCCAACATTCTGCTATTTATTTTAATGAAATATAATTATGCAGAATAAACAAAAGAATGAATGAATGAGTAGTCCATGGTCAACACACTATTACATAATTTTCCATGATTCATGGTCAGCCATCTTAAGCACTGCGCTTACACCATATGTTAAGCAATTCAATAATTTGTTATTAAATATGATATTGATTGTCTGCTGCTAATCAATATAACAAAACAAGGCCAAATGTTAACTGACTCAAGTTCCCGATACACTAGTGCTTCTAAATATCTACCTAATTTGCATAATTTATACACGTATCGATCTGTTCGATTGGTTACACAAAACCTGAATCCATGTCACGGTCGTGTTTGGATACCATAAAAGCCAAAGGGGAAAACCAATATTTTGCCCAAAATTATCGATCTGCTACACAATGGCTACAAAGGATAAAGGTATGGATACATAAATATTGTTCCTATTTGTCATTTCCTCTAACTGAAGCCCCTCCCCTAATGCTAACATTTCTTGTCATTATATCTTAATATTGGATTTTATAAACAGATAATTTTTGTTGATATAATTAGATTGAAATAATCTACAATGTAAATTTAATTTGGGGTCAGAAATATTTAATACATTAACTACAACAATAGAAGGCTGTTAACAAAATGTGGTTTAGGAAACTCGTAAAATAATTGAATTAATTAACTGCCAGCTGAATTTAAGGGTTTGACATAGATTAATCAAAATTTCTAACATTTCAACTAACACCTGTGATTAAATTTTAATTTTACATACCATAAACTTTAAGCTGTAAAGGTAAAAGTTCAAGTTTAAGTAAAAATTAAACTGATACATAATTTTGAGAAATAATATTAATTATGCAAGTCTTAGTTATAAATTATTGAAATTACCCAAAGGAAAAAGTGTATGAACTAAAAATGTCCTCAGTATCACAATTCTAATATATACTACTGTAATACTCTTTTATTTTTTTAATTATTAGTTAAGAATGTTTCTTAAGAACATTTTTCATACTAACTACATTAATATTCAATTTGTTATAGGATAGATTATAAATGGTTTACTTAAAAACCTAATATGAAAATAGCTTAATTCCTCCCATTGTTTTGATATTATCGATATTTATTAATAGCACAACATTTCTAAGGTTCACTACTGAGGTCTGAAGTGAGGTCAGAGTCTGACATACAGAACATAAGGGGAACACAATGGCAATGGAAAGAGGCATGTCCATCAGACACAAATCTGATGCAGTGTAATAAGAAAGAAAACAAATGATCCAATTGTTAAGATTACAGGAGTTCCAAGTCACTCAGAAGTCGCAGGAGTCCCCCCGAAAATCGGTAATGCCTCCCGCACTCCTGCAAACGACCAACACATCTCCCACAAATTCACTATACTTTTATGTTTTTACAAGTTTTTTACTACTGTATTATTAATTGCCTCCAGTGGTGGTGCTACGTCTCTAATCAGACAAAATGAGATCAAGTATTCCTGAGGAGGGGTGCATCAGATATTGGGTAGACCATATAGAAAATATATTATATTTATATATATATTATATTATGTATATAATATATTAATATAATTTCTCCATGGGTAATACAAAGCCAGAAGCAAGTAAGCATTCATAAATGTACTCAAAGAAATCACCTCAATTACAATGTCTTTTGTGCAGTTAATTGCTGATATTCAGACTGTACAATTTAATGTCCTTGCAGGAAACCTTAATTGTTATGCTTTCACTTAATAATGGTTTCCAAATTCATGTAAGTAAATGAAAGCCTATTCATTGCAATACATTAGGAATGGACTCCGGAATTTTGGATTTTGGTTGCATTATTTTAATTATTTTCACATGAATTACAGTTTGTAATAAAATATGTGATTTTCTCTATTTAATGCTTATTTTTTTACTCATATTTCTGACATTATACAATCGGTTTACTACAGGTGTATATACAGAATATTTTGTGTTTCTCATACAGTATAGTAACATTGTGATTTTAATAATTGGGAATTACAGATCATCGGGCTGTTAAAGTACTAGTCTTGTCTAAAATAAAATATTTGCATTTCATAATAATATGTGAGCACATGTGTACTATTGCTTTCAATTAAAAACAGCCTCCCAGCATATTGTTCCTATATTCTGTTCAATAGACCTTAAACTTGACAGTGATGCAATTAAGGAGTTTCGTAGCAAACAAATTATAAATCAGTTTACAACTATTTTTTAAGGTCTGTAATTATATGAAGTCTTAAATACCTTATTTTATCCCTTTTGAACGTGCTATTTATTTATTGATTTTTTATGCTTTTTCCATTTTTATGACAGACGGTAATATATATTTAATTTAACACATAATTTTAAGTATTCAGTTTTTTATTTGACCATTTCATTATGCAATCTTTTTAAATTTGAATATGTTATAATATTGAGGTACTATTTCATGTCATGTAAAGTTGATAAATATTCAGAATATAATATTAACTATAAAATAAATGGTGCAATTTGGAGTCAAAGGACATAAATCCAAGTACTTGTCATTAATAATTCTACTATTATATTGTTATTATAATCATTATTATATTTTCAATATTTACTGTTTTTACTTTGTTAAAACATATGTGCTTTTCCCAACAGATATTATTTCATTATTAATTGAAATAAATGTATAAATTAAATTTTTTAATCAAAGACTATAGTACTGGCCATATGTAAGATATATTCTTTTTTATACAGGTCTACAAAAAAATAAAAGTAACAGTAGTAATAAATGTAAAGAGTTATCCCAAGGCCTACAGAAAACCTAAAAAACAGCCACATATTGTATTCTAAAAAAACAATTCTGTCACACTTTAGAACAATTACAGATTAATTTTAGAGACCATCCCCCTCTCCCAACTACAGCTATGCAAAATAGAAATGGGACACACATACTTAAATTGGGTACACTAGTACATTTATTATATATTGACGTAAGAAAAACAACCATAGGCTGCGATTATATATTTATTCCGCTTCACTGGTCACTGCAGCATATGGAACAAGCAATTCAAATTAAGTGTTTACAATGACCTGTGACCTTTTCAGAAGGAAGGTGGTGTGGTTATATTTGCTTAGTGCTTAATAATGTTCGGTATTTGTTTCTTGATGATAATAGTCATACATCATCTACACGAAAACAGACTATACAAATGTTACCATTCCTAAGATAAACATTTTATGAATCAACATAATTAATCCTGCATATTTGTTTTGCATTTTACAATGTAAATTCTTTAACATTAAATGGTACAAGCTCAATGATGAGGGTCTTTTAACTTTCATTTTATCATAAATTTTACAATTTCACCAACAGTATCCAAATAGCGTAAACATTCATATAAAAAATTCTGCTTACACACACGGTTCATTCATAGTTCAAAATACATCACTGTCAAATTTAAAAGAAGTACACTACAGGCAGTACGTTTGAACATACAGTATCTGCAATATTGCGTGGTCAATTTTAATGTGAAATGGCTGCTTCAAAATTCTGCTACAGGTGTTATTCAGTCAAATTTACTAACATCCAGTCTAATTTACTTATACAGAGTTCTGATGACTATACTGTACCAATACAATAGGCTCAACAGCACTCAATTGATTACAGTATAACAATCTTCAGACTTTCTCAATAACTGCTATTACCGGTAATTACAGATCTCTCATTTTTGTATGTACAGTACTATAATTATATCATTTTTTTCTCATGCTTATCTAACACTCAATTAAAAAAAAAAAAATACTTTCAAATTTATTCATACAAAACATATGTGAACATCTGTAGAAATAAACAACACCTGAGAATACAGGGCACCTGGACACAAAATACAGGAAAACATAAGAACACATGGGATCACACAGAACACCTAGGACAACTACCGTAGCATCACAGGGCACCAGCATTATATCCAAGAAAAAGCGGTATACTGTCAGCACACGCATCTTGATTGAAGAGAAACAACTGAAACATTGGAAAAACACAGAATCATACACCTGGAATTACACATACCTGTTCCTTCAAGCTGTTTCCTAGCATGGAAACACTCTTCAAGTCAACGGCCCCCTTCAGTCCTTTCTTGCCCTTCTCCTTCTTCTTCTTTTTGCAACAGCATTTCTTACATATACACACACAGCAACATAGGAGTATTAGAAGAGCTGCTATGGCGATAGCAATTACTGCAAACACAGGCACTGGAAGAATATGGATAAGATATTTATTTTATTAAATAAGCTTTACATTACACTGGAAGTGATATAAACAAAGAAGTTCAGTGAGAGGATGTGTTCTGAATAGTCATTTATAACAAGTGAATATGAAAATACTTCATGCTAATAAAAATGTTTAAAAATTTAAAACATAAAATTTTAACTAAGGTAATATCATAAGCAGAATCATATACAAGTAAATAAGAAATAAATCAAAATTTGCTACTCTACTTCCAAAAAAAACTACACCCCAGTGGTAATCCAAGAATTTAAAGTAGAGGGGGCACAGCAAGGGATTTCAAACAGAAGTAGGTCTATATTATATTATACACAAAATATCTCCATTTTTTAACTTTAAAAAATTCGTGGGGATGGAAATGGGCTGGCTGCCCTCCCCTGAAAACGCCTACACACCAGTAGAGAAAGACGCATCATTATTCAAGATAGTAAAGTACATTGTCTATGGAAGTGAGAGTAATGAACAGTCAATGTTAGAGCTAAATATATCTATGCCAAAAGTTTTAATTAATTGATAATCAGGCTTACTACATATTGTATCAGCAAATATAAGATTTTCTCCTCTACACACACAGACACACACCCACACCCACAGATAGACACACTCACACACACACACACAATGCTAGACTTTATTATCGCCTTGACTGACAAAAATGATCAAGTAATACTAATTATATAACAAAAACAATTATTAGTTTAATCAAACTTACAACCAAACTTTGCACTGAGATCGTTAATCTGATTGTTTACCAAGTTTTTCAATTCATCAGCTCCAGATGGTCCTTCCGTGCCAGTAGGGCCGGATGGTATGGCGTCGTGTCCGGACCGCGTTTCCACAGCTGCTGTCCCATCATTTTGTAAAAGTTTACGCATAAAAAACTGGTTCATTGTCATCGCAACAGGTACTGCTCAGTCCAACAAAAAAATGCCAAAGCTGTAAAATAAACAAAAATATATAATCTATTAGTTTTAAAGAACAATGGTAATATTGTTTTTTTATAGAAGTACTTTTGAGAAAAGTTATTTCACATGGTATAAATACTCAATCTCAAATTTACTATTTTAGCTAATGGAGGATATTAACAAATTGAGAGTGTTCCCTGACAATATGTATTGTTCAGTAATAGGGAGTTTTCAATGCACAACATTAACCTTAACTTTAACGATTAACGTCATAATTTATTCATCTTGCGTCGCGGAGTACATTAATTTCAGGATTTTACGTGCTCGACGTACGTTAGTTATGGGTTTACGAATGCGTATTTCAATTTGTTTACAAAAGGGGCGGAGCTATCGCACTGCATGTTGGGTACTAACGTTAAAGTTGAGGTTACCGCCATGCATCGAAAACTCCCTAATAGCACACATGCCACTATATACTTATAGTACAACTGTATAATAATTAGGTGAAATAAATTGGGAATCATTCAATTTATTTAGAATAAAGACATGAAAGTACTGTATAGTACAGTATGATGTAAAACATGTATCACTACATTTCTAGTTATAATATTTAAGTGTAATAAACTTCAATTAGTCCAATTTCACAGTTCATTGAATTTTAACAGAATTGGTATGGTTCTCATGTAGATAGACTATATGATTATGGAATTCAACATGGTTAAGAATACAATTGAGTCTAGATAGGTAATCTTGAACAAATATCAATCTACCTCCTTTTTCCCCTATTTGCTTTGACTCAGTGATGGTACTTACAAATACTTTCAAATTCTACACTACAGTATCTATGATACAGTATAATATATTTGAGGCAGAATATACTACTGAAGAACAACATGTACAGTAATAAGTATCACTTTTAGCACACAGTAATATCACTTTTAGTCATCCATTACTAAACACTACTGGCTTTTTATGTTTGGTCACTCAGGGTTTAATTTGGCCAAAAATAATATTTTGCAATTTGGCTATTACATTTGGTATGAAAATAATTAGCCAAACAGAAATTTGATAAGCCAAAACAAAAGAATATAAGCAATAATAGCTTCAATTCCATTAGCTTTTTGGCTAATTTTGAATGAAAATTCAGCTTTTATTAGGATTTGACTATTTGGCTAATGACAGCTTAAACACTGGCCACTGGTCTATATTATATCATATTGAATATCAGGTTTACTCAACAAACTATTAGAAGACAACGTCCACTAATTACCAAGTCAGGTTATTAACGAGTCGGATTTTCTGACAAGGACATCATAAGTAGGAGACTACTATGTCAAGTGGTATTGATTGGGGATTCAGGGTTACTGTACATAGAATATTTAAAGCTGTAATTAATTTTTGGCATGCATCATTCAATAGATACAAAATCTAACAAATGCACATTTAATTTAAATTCTTAGATAAATGGATCATTAGATAGGATAATATTTCCCTAAATACCTCACAAAACTATATTAAGATATACCTATGTTCATCTTTAAGTCAGATCATACATTATTTATATTTCCTTCAGACAGACAAAAAATGAATTTTAAATCATTACTGAACTGAATAATGCAATGGTTTATACACAATACTGGCGCCAGCAAGACATCTGGAGGAAAAGTACAACCCCTTCCCTTTATAGGATAAACAGACTAGTCGGGACAAAAATTTAAATTTAATTTTTTTTTATAAAAGGTCAAGCACAACATGCACTATTGTAAAGTTAGTGCACAGTTTATATTATAGGAAAAAAGTACATGTCATAGACTATCTTCTAAAACTAAAAAGCATATAGTAGGCAGTGGTTTAATTCATTCTGTTATCTAGCACTTTTAAACCTGAAAATTGCAAGCAATCAGAAAAGATTCCTGGTGGGAACAGCATATTATCCTATCCTACAAACAATAAAAATAATATTAACGACAATAATAACACTAATAACTGTTGGAATGAGAAATCAAAAGGATGTGTTTATGTGATATAATGAACTTGGGTTTATATTGTAATACAGGTTATAAATAGCTATATATTTTTTATTATATAATATAATTCATTATAGGTGAGTCAAATGGTCGAGCGGTTAGCAGGGGCGTCGCAAGCTATAGCCATAATATCGGCGCTGGTTCGAACGGCATGCTCGCCTATGGTTCTGGTGGTAGAACAAGTCTTCTCGGATAAGGACTATAAACCGTAGGCCCAGTGTATACAATGGCTCGTGTGCACTATGAAGAACCCAGTACATCCTTCGAGACGAGTAGGGGGATACCCCGATGTACTGGAACAGACAGCCACTGTGGTGGACGACGAGAGTTGCCGGTACCGGGTTACCGGGTAGCACAGACACAAAGGGACCCTTAGGGGCGAAGAAAGTCATTGATTGAGTTCCTAGTCCACATTTCAAGCGCCCTTATTATTATTATTATTATTATTATGAATACTTTGGCAGCATAGCTAACAAAGAGGAAGCAATGTAATGTACAGTACATATTGTAGTAATGTTGTTTAATAATCTTAAAATAGCAAATAGCTCTTGCTACTGTATGAGAAAGTAATTATTACGAGATGATTAAAATGAACATGAGATACATAGCATCAAATGTGATTGCTAAAGACGAAAAATTTGCTTTGAGAAAAAACACGAAAATAAAATTCAAAATATTTTTGCCATAATATTAAGTGTATAAATATTACTCATTATGTTTTGCATCTACATTAGCTAAATTGTTCAGATGTGCATTTTCTTGAAATTTTTATGAGGGATTTTTTAGGCACTGGCTATGCTTACGCCGAAGTGATTAAAATACCAACGCACAGATTGGTCGACTTGGTTTTACCCTAACCTTAAAAAATAACTTTCACTATCTTAATGCAATACATCTTGGCGTAAGCATAGCCACTATGTATTTTTTAATCCAACAAATTTTTTTCATCAACAGCAAGAGTTTTTATTATTATTATTTTTTAAGTGTACTAATTGTAAAATTTTCATGCCTGTCATTTTTATCTTCATCATTCTTCATCAAAATGTGGTGCATACAGTAGAAAATATGAAATACACTATAAAAAAAATAAAAAATAAAATAAACAATCATAGTTTTTTAAAGATTAGTATAGCCTAGAATTTATTTTAGCTTGAATACTGAATTCCATAAAAAGTTACAAAGGTCATAAGTATTTACTTTCCTTTTACATATTTATGAGAAAAATAAATAGAGCTTAATTATACATGTGACACACAAATTCAATTTTATCAATAGTATGGTGGGCAGTAAGTACCGGTAAGAACAATGTGCCTTAACCAAATGCAGAGATATTAGCCAACTATAAAAATACAAAATTTAATTTTAATAAATAGTATTATTGCATAATGAATTCCATATAGAATAAAATTTCATTTCCTTAATTGTTTCATATATTTTGTTGGAGAACAAACTAGTCAGTTCATCCAGGTATTCACAAAGTAGATTATAAGTACACTGAAAAATTTAATGTTTAATTGTTATCAAGAAAATGGTGGGTGGTAGCAGTAACAGACAGTACCAGTAAAGGATAATGTGGTATCATCAGGCAACTCAAAAAATATATTTTATTAACACATGAAAGTTACTGGTTTCCAATTTTATGAATATTCTTGAATTTATTTAATACTACAAGATATCGATCAATAAATACAGATCACTTTCTTAAAATAGTCTGAACAAAATGGAATAGTCCAAAATTTATGAATGCTGGAGTGCTATAATAGTCGCCTGATGTAAATATGGTACAAAATCAATCAATAATATCCAAATACAATCAATAACACAAATTCACAACTACATACCATTGCAGTATTGCGAAAGTTTTAACTTAAACAAAGGTTGATCCAGTTATGTAAATATTGATGATAAAGAAATCCTGAATCTTGACAAATACAATCAATCAATTTATTCCAAAAAAAAAAAAACCTCAAAGAAGAACATCCAAAAAATACAAATGAATACATTCTCTGGAATAAAAACTTTTCCAAAGTTTGTTTTCAAATAAATAGTATTAATATTAGTTTTAAAGATAAAATATTAATATAAATAATATTTTAATTCGAAAACTATAACTTAATACTATAAATGTTGTTATTTTAAACTGATTCCATATGACATCTTGCTCTAGTATCAATTTGAAATCAATTAAGTAAAATCTAGTAATTTTAAATTAAATATTTAATTACAAAAAAATATCTTTGTGTTGGATAAACTTTGAACTTTGATAAAAAAAAGGATATGATTTATGTAAAGTATATGCCTACTTTGAAACTGCTAATGGTTTTAATTCTCAAATGATTTACATCATGTATTCATTTAGCCATGAATTTTTCACATATGCACTGGTTTAAAATAGCATTTGTATCTGATATTTCTTTCAATCATGGTGGGCAGGTAAAAGTAATGTCATACTCCTTATATAGAGGAATAGTGACTATTACAAGTCAATCGTAATCTTATCATATACCTTCGTTATTTTTCCATGTCCCGAAATCTACAATATAGTGTTCTATTTTTCTTATAGTTATACAGTTTATGCACACAACCCGAGGGTATTTCCTTGTTTACACTATACACCACATCACACAAATGTTTCATTTCTATGTTTACCTAGCTTTACCTACGCATTCCTGGGTAAAGACAGTGCAGCTGTCGTTTTCCATGATTTCAATCCTTTATGCAACATACCACCATCTAGTGTATGTTCAACAAATATAATACTAAACTGCCCACAAAATTTCTATTATTAACTACAAATTTTGACATAAGCCTAAATATTTTTTCGGACATTTCTAAAAACAAAATCATGTATTAATTACAGAAACCTAAGCACAACTATTTTCCATAATTGAAAGGAGTTAATTACCATGCGAGAACTGATGATTTGTCTTACAAAAACCATTTAATTTCATCCAATCTTATGACCTTTAAATCTTTATAGAGCAGGTAGATACAGTACCACCAT